CTTGAAAATCGACGACTGGGTCCACAGTTAATGTCTCGCCGGAACACTCGATACGAGTCTATTCGACCGGCCCGGCGCATTTATATTTCGGAATTATTTCAACGGTTCGTCCGCACATTTCACGAACGCAGTACCATTCGATATGTGTCCGCGCGCGTCCCGCCCAATCCGCAAAACAACCGCCGTGCCGTTGTACTAGACAATTCGATAGTTGTTCGACTCGAGGAAGCGACGGCGGAACGAAATTATTTTTCGATTTTCGTGCGGTTTAAAATAGCCTACCACTCGACTGATTACGCCGGGAAACCGGGCCCGGCTACTTGCCGACGATTGTCGATACGACCGCGGGCATTACGGCGACCCCGCGTATCCCGCACTACCGCCGCCGCCCGGACCCGAGTGGCGTAGGCCGTAACACCCAAATTCAATACTTTTATACGCAATCCGCGCATAAAAAAACATAATAATAACAATAATGGGGCGTGGACCATTGTAACGGGTACAATATTATTCTTTAAATTCGCACGCGATCGGCGCAAACACGTATTGGGACGCGTGCAGTAGGGTGTTCAACATACAATACGGGTAAACTGACGGTTATGACCGGCGTAATTCAATTCCGGTGTCACGACAAAATGCGCGCCGCCGTTACCCGAGTTCGATTGAACGGAAATGCGTATCGTCGAATACATCGCGCCGCTTTATAATAATACGCTGTCGCACAATTTTCGCGACGAAAACCGTACAAACGCGCGCGGTGGAAACAACGACACGGCCTTGCGATTTGCGCTTAGAACGCGTAACGTTCGCGCAAGTCGGCAAATTATCAATCGGTTCGCATCCGGTGGACGAACCGCCCGAAGCGACCAGACATGATTCGGAGTCGGGTCGGCGACGAATTTAGAGTTTCGCCGAATGAGACGGAAATCGTTTCGAATTGTGTAACGCGTGTACTCAAGTTTAAAAAAAAAAAAAATAAATAATACATTTTCAATCGTTGAAATCAAATAGCCAGGAATTATTACTATTAGTAGTTAGGTGCTATAAGTAATTGTTGTCTTCGTCATATTATTACCAAGGCTGGGTATTGACGAGTTGAAAAATTAATGGTTTTGATAATTGGTAATTGGTAACGTGATTTTTAACATTTATTTTTTTTATTAATTTGACTTTTAACTCGATTTTTTTTTTAATAAGGAGTAAAATTTAAACTTCATCACGTTAAGTTAATTTTGATATTATTTGTTTTGCTCGATCGTGTATGTGTGGATAATGGAGATTCATAATTAATAATAAATTGGTATAGTTGGATATTTCCGGAACACGTTTAACATTGATAATCCTTGTTATAAAATAAATTCGACAAAACTTTAATCAACTGGAATGGTATGAAAACAACAATAAAATAGTAAAAACGAAATTATCTCAATTTGAAGGGTTAATTTAATGTTCGTATTAACTTTCAACTTGACTATTAATTCAAATGACAATTAACTTTTAATGTGCCGACTGTTTAACTCTTTTCCAATAAACTTATACGAAATAAAATCATTCATGAGCTTTCTAATTTTTAATATCATATAATAATTTTAGGTTAAGTTTCGTTTTGAACAAGAAAAATAATGTATTTATTCATTCGGTTTTATTTTTGATGCCTTAACTCAGTACCTACCCACATATTTTTATTTTTTATTTTTCTAACTAAAAAGTAAAGACATTTGAATTTACGAAATGAGTAGTCAAAATAAATACATGTGTAAACATGCGTTTCGGTATCCTCGATAAAAGTTTACTTATCGGTTCAGCTCACTTTTACCTACCTCATCTCCTTACCGCCTATGGAGAAAACTTTCGAGTTTGTACAAGAACTATCGACAGGCCGAATCAGGACGACGCGTGATCGTATTCATCACATACTAGTCAAGTCACTTTTTGTGATATCGACACAGATGTTATACAAATATAACGTGAACGGTTTCGTGCTTTTCTCGTGATGCCGTTTGGGTGAGATCAATCGCGAATAACAAAATGTGAAATCCTACAGTGGCGTAGGCCTGAATTTTTGCGAGAGCGATTGAAACTCGCACATTTTGTGACAGATTTTAAGATGACGAAAAACTAACCACGTCCCGAATAAGGGGGGGGGGAGGAGCATAGCGATACGCCTACCACCCCTATATAATTATAATTATTATCGCCGTCATCAATCGGACCGGTTCGAAAATGTTGAACACGATTGGTCGAAATCGTCCGATCCCCGGCACTGACTACAACGGCAAATTCATACACGCCGTTCGTAATAATATACTAGAGCCGGTCGAGTAGGTACTCGACTTAATCGCGTGTTCCCGGGTCGAATGGAGTATTCGACTTTACTCGTGCAGCACGACTGTTTCACGAGAACAACTATGACGATAGCGCGACGCGTGTGTCAGCCTGATAGATTTTTCGTTAGGGTTCTCGGCCGTCAAACTCGACTCGACTCGATTTCGGAAAGCCAAAAGTCGCCGAACTCCCAGTACATTTACGTTATTTGTACGTTCCCGCAGAGATGCGCTTTCCTCCCCTCCCCCTCCCCATTACAGTCACGGTTCGTTTATGTGTCTGCTGTATAACGCGGCCGTGTACCGCGCGTTACACCGTAGTGCAATATTATTGCGACGTCGTGCGGTACGGGCGCGCGCCGCGGCATAAATTCGTGAACCCTCGCGGGACACCCTGTACGACGTTACGGCGCATTTTATGCGTACCCCGTGCGCGCCTACAGATATCGCATTACGCTGCGCGCGCGTGTGGCGCACAGCACGGGCGGTAAGCGGGTCGCCGCGGGTCGGGCGAGCGGGACGGCGGCCGACCGCGGAGTGTACGCGCGTCGCACGTGTACGGTACGGCGGCGGCGGCGCGCGCAACGTCCATGCGCCGTGACCCTGGCCCGGAGGTAGGCGCGCGACGCGATCAATAAAACGACGCGGGACGGCGGCGCTCCTTCCGTCCGCTTCCACGCCGCGCGCCCCGGAAAGCGTGCTCGCGCTTGCCCGTGTACGGCGGCGCGTGCGCGCCGGGTGATTTATCGGGGTTCCACGTCAAACGTTTCGCATGTCTTTCGCGTCCCCTCGCCTCCGGCCGCCCCTGCGACGCCTACAACCCCGCGGCTGAACGCCACCGACCGCGTTCGTTTCCCTTTCACCTGTTATTGTTCCGGGGGCCGCCACGTGGAACTACGCGGGCGACGCCGCGAGTTTAGCGGCGCCGCGCGGCCGGCGTTATTCGCGACGTTCGGGACTGCGCCCTCCGCCCGCCGGTATATTCGTAGGGGCGTCCTTCGCGGCGATTTTCGGCGAGCGGGAACAAAGCGAAATTCGCCCGACGAGTCGAGTGCTGTTTTCCAAATCCTTAAATGCATTTTCACACGCGTCCCTTACTCCCCTCGCCACCGTCAGTGCGAGTGCCCGAGCATCCCTCAAGTTCATTGTTCATAGTTTTAGTATTTTAAAAATATAATATCGAAAACTTCGCGAATCAAACAAAATTGTTGTAAGATAGTTTAAAACGGTCGTAATAATAATTTCGTTACGTTTTTAACTACAACCGGATTCCGGATTTGAGATATTTACCGAATTTTTCCTGTCGGTGATACGTATCTCAATCGTTGTTTTGAGAACTACCGCCAATTCGGCTACTAATACGTTTAAAAACTTGGAACAGTTAACGATAACTATGTCATAAAATATAACCGGTTTATCGAACTTTGGTCAGAATCGTTTTGCGATTAATCGTTGCTTTATCTATAGTTCTTGCAAATAATGTATTATTCCGCATTATTAGGTAAGTACCCACTCGTAAAAATAACTAACTGCAATAATAATGCACGTGCTACAAAAAAAAAAAAAAGGTACGGACATATTTCGCACGATGGGGGAGGGGGGCACTGTTGTAGGTCAGAAGTTGGAAAGGTAAGATATAGAGGAGAATTTAATGTATATCTGTACGCAACGGTTAATCATTGATAACAAAAAAATAAAGGATTCTGAGCGGAATTTTGTTACGCGTGTTTTGAAAGACCGTGATAATTACGATTTTAAAATAATACATTGCGTAGGTAAATTTTCCCGTTTCTCCTACGTTTTTTCCCATTTATTGGGGACAAAACTCCTAGGAAAATAGAAAAATAATACTTGAAAATCAGAGCAAAATTGATGGTAGAAATATTGTGCATGAAAAAAAAAAAAAAGTTTAAACGGATATATTTCTAGAGCTCCGCTCGGAATCTAAAACGAAATCGATAATAACAAAAACCGTTTATGTTCCGCAGTTTATATATTGCGTAAATATTCCTATTTTCCCGACATTGTCCCCCGATTATTAAGAAAACCACAAGGAATGTCAACGAAAAAATAACGTCCCCAACGCACAAACTAGACGGAATTCGCTACCAGAAACCCAACCCCTAATGTTGATGGCCGGAACAAGGTGATAATAACATTTCCAAGCATTTCTGTTAAGTCTAACATTTTCACCGCCTAGTAGGTGGTGCTTACCGAATACAAATTATGTACAAAACTCACAACATTAAAATGTCTATAAAAAACTCTAAAGTTTTTAAAATGTTACCGTGTCCAGAAAAGGCAAATATAAGTATGTTGTTCAAATTTCAAGTCTCCACGGAATATTTGTAACCGAATCACAACAAATAACAAAATTTTAAAAACTACTGAAATCATTATTTTCGTAAATTTCCGGTTTTTCTTACGCTTTATCCTGGGTTTTCCCCAGATCTAATAAAAACCGCTTGAAAAATCAAACGTGAACTCGTACACAGTACCAAAAACTAAAAAAAAGAAACACCACAGTAAAACCGATGAATTCCTCGCTTTCCTCGCTCGGAATCTAAAACGTAAAAAATATATTCGTGTAATTCAGTTTAAAATAATCGCACACCAACTATTTTCACCGAATCGCATACGAAGTAATGTTAACGTTTTCTAGACCTTTGGAAAAAAAAAAAACCTAGACGTTTCTTTGGTTTTTAATCGATTTCATATGGAATCAATGTTTTGTCTTCACGAAAGCGTTTGAACATTTATTACGAGATTCATCGTAACATAAAAATATCGGTGGTCGTGATGTTTGTTTTACAAGCGTTTAAAGTTCCGGTTTCGACAAAAATCACGGCGGGCGATACCTATTAAACATGTTCAACCGAACTTCGCCCAGAATCGTTTTATCGTCAACAATGGTTTATCGTTGCGTACAGATATAAATTGAATTACTCCGAATGTCATATCCTACCTTCCAAACTTATTTTCACGTATTCAAATTATTATCAAGGACATTTTTTTATTTTTTTATTTTTAAAACACCCTCCGTCCGTTCTTCCCTGGTCGCACCACCGGTACCGGTTAATATCCGAAAAATTACCGAACGTAAACAATGTACCCGTTACCTGCACCGGTTTACACCAGAGCACATTTCGATTATTCGGTAATCTATCTACAGAAAGATATAACAATCAATCAATAGGCATACAAATAATATCTCAAGAAAGAACCTACGACTACCTACGCGATATAGGCACCTAGATAATAATTTTATAATAGGCCATAATAGAGTTCGTGCTATTATATCAAATTGGTGTATTTCAGAGATGCGCGTTTCGCTGTCGTATTATTATATTGCAGTGTAGATTTTAGCAGTGGGTACGCTCCTAAGAGTATTTAGCTTTCGGCTATACTACAAACCATTCGTAATCACTTGGGTAGGCGCCTTGATAAGCCGTTAGCCTCAATGCCGAGTGCGGAACGCCTGCGCATAATGTATTTTCTGAAACCTATGCAAATTGAGTACGGTAAATTGTATTGCAAAGTCGATAACTCGCATGTGTAGATACGCAATTACGTCTACGTATCTAATCCGAGTTAATTCAATAGGTTAGAGGTCAATCCCGAATCGTGTCAACCCAATCTCGAAGATTGAACTTTTCACTGTAAATAATTTTCAAGCAATACCTGCTGCGTACGCGCCTAAATATAAATATTCGGTACCGACGTAACACCCCCTCCCCCCTACACAGTTTACATCGGGCAAATGTCAGGCGAACGATTCACATTTAATACCGTAATCTGTTATACCGTCTCTAGGTACACAATTCCGAGTACGGTTTATGCACGTCAAAACAACGGCGGTCGCAAAAGAAAATTAGCTTTTTCCTAAGCCACACGGAAACGCTTCGAAAGTCCAATCTCTATTATCACCCCCGCGCGGCAAGCGGACGACGGCTTATTTGGATTTAAAAACGAGAGCCGCAACGGCGCGATTCCGTGTCCGCTCGAAAACAATATCAAAAGGTACGGGGACACCTCTTATATGACACAGGTAGGCACGCACGCACGCTCGCTACGTTTCGATTGCAATTGCATAAAAAAATCACGCGCACATTTTGTGACGTTTTCAATCGTTGTCGGGTCGTACGTATGGATTTTGACCGGTTGAAATTCCGTAAGGGTAAACGAAAATTATCGTACAATTGCGCGTTCTAACGATAATCGTCATCGATTAAAAGTAATATTTTATTAAAACGGTCCAAAATGGAACGGCGTGCGAAACAACAGCGGACCCGCCAGTTTTCAATCCGCGCCCGAGCGCCGGAGGTACGCAACCGGGTACCACTTTAGATTAGCCAAAGGACCCGCAGTGATCGGGGCCCCGCACGCCGCGGACAGGCCCCGGGTGCATATAAACGCGCCCGCTCCGTAATTCGCGGCTCCGGCAGCCTCAGGTAGGCGGCCGCCGGGTTTATCAACCACTGCCCACCGGAAATCGCAGGCCCGCCCGAAGCCGACCGACACCGGCGCTCCGAAGACCGTTATCCCCGGACCGCTTTTCACGAATGTCAAAAGTTTCGACACGATTCGCGGCGCCCAGTCACCGACGGGGTCCGCACTGGGGGGGGAGGGCAGCCGATGGCCTACCGACACGCGTTTGTTAACAACCGCAATCTCCGTGTTGCCAGAGGTAAATCAGAGCCGACCACGCGTTCCGATCTCTCGCCGGATCATCAAAACAACCTCATCGACGAGAATCCGTACACGTCGGAGAAATCCGCACCGCTACTGTTATCGAGCGCTACGGAGAGGAGGCCGGTACCGTAAAAACAGCCCGGGGACGAAGAAAGCAGCGTCCCCGGGGGGTTCTCCGAGGACCCGCCGAGAGCCGAGCAAGAAGTTAAAAAAATCCCGGACGGTTCGCGAGAACCGGCCGAAAAATAATCGGTCCCGGCCGGTCCCTTGGCTGTGTACACGGCAACGGCGCCAAAGTAAGTAGTTTAAAAACACCCGGGCAAACAAGGCGATACTGTATCAAATTGATCTTCTCCGGGCGCAATAAATTACATTACTCAACGGCACTGATGCGGTTACGCGTTCTACAAACACTACACATACTGTGTGTATATTTCTCACCACTGGCGCCACACGCCGGCGACCGAAAAATTTGATACCTATAGGTTCGGGGCCGCCGGTGAATAATACATAGTAAACAACAACGATGTTCGAACCGCGTAGGTAGGCACGCATTATATCGAAATCTAACTAAATATTACGTTAAACATTCGAGCGGTTAATTTTCGTTTTGTTGAAAACTATCAACAAGATTGACCCGTGGTATTCGTAGTACCTATTTGTGTTTGAACGCGTTTTAATGTATCTAATTTTTTTTTTTTTTTTGTTAACAACGATTCATTGTTGCTTATAGATATAAATAAAATTGCACCTAAATATAATACCTTTCCAGCATTCCACCGACAAACTGACACGTCTACCCCTGAACGAAAATCATAGCGACAATGTACGAAACAATCACAGTAGCTTTTTTTGGCAATAGGTTATTTATAATTTCAAATTCACGGATAAAAAATCTGTTGAAATACAAAAAAAAAATATTCATTATTACAATATGTAGTTACAAATTAATCTCTCTTCTGTTGACATGTCTACTCTCTAAGAATTTTTGCCGCCATTACTACACTTCGTCACCTATCTCTCTATCTCAAACCGATTCCCTCCAATTCTCAACTACAAGGGTTTTTAGATCTTTTTCCACCACATCAATCAATCTTTTCTCTTCGGGCTTCCATACTCTAATGCCGCTCTAACTCAATCATTCTCACCTCTTCTCATTCACCTCATCTCACAAACTATTAGATTTTAAAATTTCAATTGATTAAAAACTTTCTGAACTTTGTTTAGAATCGTTAGGTTAGAACCTAAAAACAGTATTGAAAACGTGTCAAACAATTTATCAGCAGGCCTGAATTTGGTCAACCCATATGTTAATAGAAATCAGACATATATGCACATTTTTGTACACTGGAACACTATTCCCTTTAGCGGTCTTTCATAAAAACTTAAATATATATATATTTTTTTTTTTTTTTGCATCACACTTTATACTCCATTTTAAGCTCTGCTGGGTGTGGGATAAGGTAAAACAAAAAAAAAAAAAAAAAAAAAAAAAAAAAAACAAACTACTGTTTTACAATATTTTAAAAAACTGTGAGATCACGTTTTAAATGTATCACCCGCGGCAAAATCCCAAAATACAAAAATATTAATAGCCTCAAGATATTAATTTAAATTATACTTCAACAAATTATTTTTTTTACACAATAATAGTATTCATAATCTTAAGATTGTTTTATTCAAAACAAATTTTTACATTTAGCTTTCCACAATTCACATAGCACAAGTAAATCAAAGATGTATTTTTCTACAAAAAAAATTAACACTATTTTACGATTTCTTAAAACAATAACTTTTTTAACAATTACTTTTAGTCTTGATACTGTCGAGTAATTATTCATTTTTCTATATTCTTTGTTATGTAATTGTTATACCGATTTCTCAATACATGTTTAAATGAAATAACCGAATGGTTTATCTGGAGTGCGTTTATATATATATATATGTATATATATATATATATATATATACTTGTATGTGACAAGAGTTTCATTATAAAATAAAGTATGGATATAATCATGGATAAACTCAGAATTAAGCATTGCTTTGTAAGAGTCATTGTAAATGTTTATTTATCAACGGCTAAAAACAAATACAAAACTTATGTATATATATATATATATATATATATAAATATATATGTATATATGACATACATACATACAAAATAATAACCAAAGTGGGATAGGATTTTCTTTTCATATATCCATTACAATGAAAGACCTAAGTACTACTATGTACAAGAGAGAATAAAACTATATTATATAAAAAGAAAGAGATATTTTAAATTGTATAATATATATATATATATATATATATATATATATACAGGTATTAAAATTAAGACTCTTAAAAGTTGAAGAGATAAGATTAAAATTATGGTCTAAAGTAAATATCCTGAGAATTGATGGTACAGGATGTCCAAAAGATAGTATTAATGCCTTCTGAAACAAAAACATAATTTTTTTTTTTTTATTTATTACGAAAATTGTTTTAATAGTAGGTATTGTATTTAATTATTATAAAAATGTGCGCGCTCATATTCAAACTATCGTATTAAAATATTGCAATATCATAAGCAATTAATCATTCTACTCTTATCGTTTTAATTAAATCATTCGAGACCTCGTGGGGAATTTTTCAGGTTATTTTATTATTGAACAATTTATCATAAATTAATATTTATGTACATAAATACAACATTTTGAAATAAAATTTTCTATTAGTGTAATTAAATTATATACTTGCACATTATTATTTAAGTGTAAAAAAAACATTGTACAATTTGGTTTTTAAGCCACCGCCTGATGTTTAATGTAAAATGCATTGTATATTTAGAATTACCCTGCTAAAATAAAATATAAGAATATTATACCTAGTATTTGTTTTTATAAGAATTATATAATATGGGAGATATTACAATATTTTACTTATTATCTTTTACTCAGAAATTGATTTCAGAAGAAAATTGTAGTCATATAATTATCATTCCACTACATGTACCTTTTAAGGTTTTCATCATAAATCATTAAAAAAAATATAATAATAATAAAATAACATAAAATTCAATATATTTCATTAAAATGATTTTAATCAGAATTAAATCATTCCACTTCTCGCATCAAAATAAAAATGTTTGAAATCATTAATATATTGAACTGTATTGTGATGTATTTTATAAACGTAATCATATTCAAAAGTCAATATTCTACAATAAATTATTAACAGTTAAAAATAATTTGTATTTCAAATATTTAGTGAATATTACCACAGTGTATAACTCAAATTGTTATCATTTAAACTATGACCTAAACGTGAATGTAACATATCAAAATTATTTTACTGTATCACAATTTGATTATAAAATTATAGAAGAATAATATTTGATTACATGTAAAAATATTTTTTAATTTGATTGCAATACATTTAAAGTATTATTTGCCTTCTGTTTGCAATATTCATAAATAAATTGTGACAAAACTTAATCATTAAACAAGTTATAAAATGAATACCTAGCCTAATGACAAACATACAAAAGGGAGTGACTAATTTTCTAAATAAATTATGAAGCACAGGAGAATATTTTTGTTAATATTATCTTTTGCATAGAAACTGATTTCAGAATAGAATTGTAGTCACATGAATATCATTCCACTACTTGCATCGTTTTAGTTTTTCATCATTATTAATCATCAATTATAATTCAATATTCAATATCCAAGAATAAAGAAGAAATTGAAGTATTTACCAACTTAGGAAAAATAAAATATTGACCATTTTTTATGCAGATTATTTAACAAAGGAGATATTACAATATATTTTTCTAATTATTTTTTCCATAGTAACTGATTTCAGAATATAATTGTAGTCATATGAATATCATTCCACTACTTGCACCGTTTTAGTTTTTCATCATTATTAATCATTAATTATAATTCAATATTTTATATACTAAAATAAAGAAAAAATTAAAGTATTTACTAACTTAGAAAGAATAAAATATTGACCATTTTATACAAATTACATAACAAAGGAGATATTACAATATATTTGTCTAATTATTTTTTGCATAGAAACTGATTTCAGAATATAATTGTAGTCATATGAATATCATTCCACTATTTGCATCGTTCAAATGTTTCATCATTATTGATCATAAAATAAATTAAGATTTAATATGTTTAATTTTGATTCTGTAATCAAAATTTAATAATTTCACTTAGTAGAGTAAATATTAATATTATCATTAATATATATTGAACTATATTACAACATTTTTATTTCCTAATATTTTTTTATCAACAATTTACTAATACTTGAACTTAATATGATTGTGATTAATAAAACTATTACCTATGTAATAGTGAGTAGGAGAATCAAATTTATTTTACCTTAACAAATTTCATAATTTTATTGAGACTTCATATTATGTATTATCATTCTACTACTTACATTGTTATAATAATAATATAAAATGTCGAAATTGTATTTTTCAACATAATATATTACATTGTTAGTACTTTAATTAAAAATATAAATCATTACACTTCTTATACTAAAATTAATATATATATTTTTCAAAACCATTAATTATAAACATTTTATCAAATATTATGTAAAAAAAAGAAATAAACAATGTTAATTTTAATTTCTAGAAGTACCTAAAAATATAAAAATTAAGTCAGTATTTAATAATAACTCTGAAAACTACAATTGTTTAATATTTTAAATATATTCATCTTATATGGAGATTACCCAATTCACACAAAATCAAATCAATTCATTTTTTGCATCAGTATTTTATTTTTAGTCATTAATGTGTTTTTATTTTCTTATATAATAAAGTTAATATAAATTATATAAATATAAAACAAATGACTCATGTTTATTTTTTAGTTACTAATGCAATTGAAATTAAGAGTATAGTACAAAAACTTTTTCTTGTACTTCATTTGACAGAAATACGATAAAACACTAATTACAAAATATAAATAAAAATAATAATTTTCAGTGACAAATTTCACAATAGGATTTAAATCAAAAGACCACTTCTCGCATTGTAAATGAGTTTGTACAGTAATAATTAGTTGTTGATTTAAATACTAACAATTATATTAATAAAAAGCATACATTCAAATTTATATCAATACTCACTTTATATTTAATAATTTTCTAGCGAGAGGATGTGATCAGGTTTTTCACCACGTTGGTGTTTATCCCACATTGCTCTGTAAAGCTTTTCAAGACCATTTGCATAAATCGAACAATTAAACAATGGACTTTCAGATCGTGCTCGCCAGACTTCTACTCGCATAGTTTTTAAACTAAACAATATACAAAAAGACAAAGGTATAATACACTTAAAAATGTACTGAATAATGTCAACAAATACATACTATTCTTTGTCAGTTCCTAATCTGATAGCAATATCTTGATATTCCTCTCTAGTCCTGGCAATGAGTTCAGGACAGCCGAGTGTTGCCAATTGTGATGCAGCAACTCTGGATGCCAATGTTTCTCCTAGTTATATACAATACAAATATTATAATTTACCAAACAAATATAATCAACCATAAAAAATAATACCTGGTAATGTAACAACTGGTGTGCCAGTCCATAGTACATCCATACTGGTAGTGTGACCATTACAAAGAGGAGTGTCCAAACATACATCAGCTAATTGTCCTCTGCGCACATGTTCTTCTTTAGCAGCTACGTTACTGAACAATATACGACCTGGTCCAATACCCAGGTTAGCAGCTGTATTTTGAATATGGGTCTCACCAACAGCGGGGAAACGCAGAAGCCATAGTACAGAATTAGGTACAGCTTTTAAAATCTGAAACCAAAATAATATTTAATACATATATAAGACAAAATAAATTATAAAATCTTCACTTACATTAACCCACATATGAAGAGTGTTTGGATCGATTTTATACAATTGATTAAAATTGCAATACACAACAGCATCTTCTGGCAAACCATACTGTTGACGTGTAGTAATAACAATATTTTGAGGTACTTCCTCTCCTGTAGCTGCCTTATTATTAGTTTGGTTAGTTGCAAGTCCATTTTGTACTACAACTCCGTTTACTGAAGTTTGAATTTGTCCAGAAGCAATCATAGTCTAAAGAAAAAAAAAAATGTATTAATAATTTAAAAAAACAGATTACTTCACATGATGGGCCACTGTTGTAGATGAAGGTTAAGAAGGTAGAGAGGAAATTTAATGAATATCTGCATTCAACAATTAACTATCGTTAACGAAAACCAATTCCGAGCGGAGTTTAGTTATACACATTTAGAAAGGACATAATAGTAACATTTTGAAAAGAATAAATTTTCTAAATTTTCCAATTTTTCCTACTTTTTTCTATTATGATTATTAATCATAAAATGAAATCAAAAAATGGCCTACCAAAGTACCACCTCAGTTAAATGTCTTTTTAGAAAAGGTGTTTACATGAAAGTCAAAGCAAAATTCCTAGTAGTTGATCACAGAAAAAAATAATAAACAGCATTGTATAACCAATACATTCCTCACTCCGCTCAGAATCTAAAATACAACACTAATTTATAATTCAAAATTGTATTAATACCTCAATAGGTGTAGTAGTTGGCAATTCAGCAACTTTCAAATTCACTTCAACAGGTCTTGTCAATTTAGAATCGGCAATTTCAGATACAATTACTTGTTTTATTTCTTTTATATTAGTGTTTTCGATAATCGGTGATAAATCTGTAGCATTTATCACAGCTACATTATCAGCCACATCTTTTTTACAGCCAACCTTGTCAGATAGAATTATCCGCTCACATAGGTGAGGGAACATTTGTTTGTGATCACCAATGAAATAAGTATGGGGCATGTATGCCAATTTTTCACTATACTGAGATGCAAGTTCAACTGGTGATGTAACCATATCAGTAATTAAGTAGTCCATGAAGGGAGCACCACTAGTTCCAGGATAACCGAGCCACATTACCTGAAAATTAATTTAACCAATTATTGTGAAATATCACAAACATATTTGTTGATTGTCATAATTAAACTCAATAATATTTTTGAATTAATATTTATAAATAATTTACTTGTATTGGAGCAGGACGTAATGCAAATATTTCATTTCTTGCACCTTTTGTGTATCCATTCATATTTACTAAAATATGTATCCCATCATTATTTATTTTGTCAGCAGCTTTTCCATTACAAGGAATCTGAAGAAAAAAAATCGGTAAATATTTTTATTTTTATAAAATAATATATTATAGGAACATATTTTATTTTATGCAAAAAGAAAAAATATTGCAATAATATTAAATTGTTGTTTCTTACATGTGATAAATCAATAAAATGTTCTGCTTCCCTAGCAATTTTAGATCTGAATGTAGTATTATCATCTGGTGATAAAGCATAACAAAATATTTCTACTTTGTCCTTATTGTGCAAACCCGGTATGGATTGCATTAAATGTGACGTGGGATGATTACCAAAATCTGATGAAACATATCCAATACGTAAACGATTGCCAGGAGCTAGTTCTTTAATGTATTTATAGGGAGGTTTGTGTAAAACTGTAATTTTTTCCAAACATAATGCAGCATGTCTTCCAGCAATGGCTTTTCGGAAACTGTGGGACAGTGGATAGAGCATAGAGTGATGAGGATGGACAGATGGCAAACGATTCTTTTCCAACTGTTCGGCAACAATGCTAACTAATTTTTTCATACGTGCATCATAATCAGTCCAATCGCACACAATTTGTAGGCAATGCGCGAGATTACAATAAGCATCAGGAAAGTCTGGTTTCAGTCTTAAAGCAGTTCTGTAAGAAGCAATAGCTTCTGGTATATTCCCAGAGTCCTTGTGAATTGAAGCTAAATTACTGTGAGCGTCAGCAAATGCAGGGTTTATTTGAATGGCTCTTGAATAACATTGTAAAGCATTTTGTACATCTTGCATTTCTTTGAGAGTGTTTCCCATGTTTGAGTAAGCATCTGCAAATGTAGGCTGAATACGAATAGCTTCTTGATAGTGGTTCAAGGCTTCTGTCAATTTGCCCTGTTGTTGAAGAACAGAAGCCAAATTGGAATGAGCAGCAGCAAATTCGGGAAATACTTCCAGGGCTTTCAAATATAGTCTGGTCGCCTCTTCTATATAACCTTGTTCGCGTTTTATATTGGCCAAGTTGTTTAGTGAATCTGCGTGTGTTGGACATAGTTTCAAAGCTGTATTGTAGCATTCTTCAGCATCAGTGACCTATATTAGCATATAATAATTTATATAATAATTTATATAATAATTAAAACAAAAATATAAAAATTCAACAAACCTGTCCTTTTTCTTTAAGAGCATTTGCCAAATTGCAATAGGCATCGGGAAAATTGGGTTGTAGTTCTATAGCACGGCGATAAGTATCAATAGCCAAATCAATAAGTCTAAAAGAATATATAATGTAAAACGATAATGGGATTTTAGTTTTTTGAGTAATATATACAAATATTTAATGAATACTTACCCTTGTTCATAGTACACACAAGCCAAATTTCCATGTACAACAGCATTATTTGGGCTTAATGTCAAAGCCCGGAGATAAGCAGCCACTGACCTGAAACAAAAGTCATAATTGAACAGATGGAAACACACTTAGCAATTAAGAAATATCAATAAACAATAAGTTTTAAGTAGTCATCTAAAGGGTTAGGATTTCAGTGTACTTTGTATTGTTTACCAAAGCTTGTTAAATGATGGTTATAAAACAAATTTGCCTTAACTATTAAATGAGAATAAAACATTTTATTTTAGCATTTATTAACAATTTTTAGTTAATAATTAATTAGTTAGTTTAGTTTTAAGTCTTTTTTTTCTTTTACCACATTTTAGGTGTGTTATATTATTTATCTTTTACATTGTATTATTATGAATTTGTAAGAGATGAAATAATTTTTAAGGGTTACTTGTCTTAGCCTAGTTTTGGCTCACTATGAGATATTAATGATATCAATAAGATAATAAATACATTGTGTACTGATATACCATAAGCAACATAAATGTTGATTACAATAAAAGATCTTCAAACTACCTATGATTTTATATTTTGATTGAAAAAGGGATTATTAAGTGTCTTGTAAGATATTATATTATATTAACTACAAGGATATTGTATACATTATTTGGGTACCTTTTTCAACAATTATCAAAATTGACCATAACTTTTAAATGTATCAAGATGAAGAGTAAGAAACACCATATAAACTCTGTTGTAAAAGTAATTGAAATTGTATATTGTTCGTACAGTATAAATAATATGATATTGAACGCACATAAAGGATAAGTACATCTACGCATGTTTTACAATCTAATCAATTTTATTGCTTGGCTTACATTACTAACATAGATTTATGTTATCAAACAAATTGTCTATGTTCAACTTCCAAATAAACTAGGGTATTGGGGGACCAGAAACAAACTTCAATTATTTTAACTGAGAACATATTATATTACTTTTAGCCAGATACCATATAAAGAAATGTTCTTTTTCTTTCAAAACAATCGTAAATCATTCATTATATAGAAAATAAATATATTTTAGATCAGACTATTCGAAAAAAAAGTCATTCAAGTGTACTAAAGAGGAAAATCAACAAGAGATGTAGTGGATGATTGTATCAGGAAAGTCAGATACATTAAGTTATTTAATTTATATGATAAATCATTGCTGATGAAATATGATTCTGGGCTAAGTTCAGTAAAACATTAAATGCCATCAATTTTACAATTTTCAACAAAAATTGAACTTAAAATCAATTGTAAAATTTAAAAAACTACGTATTATGTATTATAATTACACCCTCAGCTTTAATTGACTGCCAAGTAAAAGTTTATAATATTCTAATATTCAAGCATTTTTGTTGGGCCAAACAAATTTATCCACGTAAAACCAAATAAAAAATGACAAAATGACTATTATAGCTCAAAAATCGCCAGAATGTTTTTAAAATTTTAAAAAGTCTAAAATTACAATATTCTATGAAAATTTCAGATATCTATGATTATTTTTAACCGAATAACAAAAACTAAAATACTGTTGTTTTCCCAATTATTATTAAGAATCCCACAAGGAAAATCAATATACAACTTTCTTATGCACCAACTAGATAAAACTGTCCTTCGGAAAATATTCTACTCATGAAATTGTTGAGCAAAATTTCTTGTAGAAAAATAAACTCGAAAACAATAAAACTTTTATTGTCGTAAATTATTTGTCAGTTTCGCTAATTTTTAAGAAAAATAAAGAAAATGAAAAAATTACCTCTTCAACACACAAAATTGATTCAAAACGCTACGAAAAAAAAAAAGCTCTCTAGTCGTCTTTTGATTGGAACAAGATTACTTTGTACAAAAATAGTTTGTTGGCAGATAAAATAAAAAATCCGCACACATCATAGATGGGAAAACCGATACATTCTCGCTACGCTCAGAATCTAAAAGTAATGTTAAACAATATATTAAACTACTACACAACTCCGGATTGGTTTTCGGGGAGAGAAAAAAAAAAAATGGCTAAATGACGGTCTCTCCTATTTTATTATTATTACGAAACTGTTTCAAACGACAATTCGGGTACAGTAGGTACTTAAAAACACAGAGTGTAAAACTTTTAAAATCAATGTTCCACAGAAGCGAGACGGCGAACGGAAGCGGATTATTTCGGAAAAATCGATTTTTAATTTTTAATTTTAATTTTTTCCGTTACATACATTACACATCAAAAGTTATAATACCGTCTCTCTCTCTCTCTCTTTTCCTCTCTGCATCCCGCGTGCGGGTACGGTTAATATTTCGCCGTTGTGTATTCATAACTATATAATATGGGCAAAATATAAACGACTTTTTGTAGTCTTTGTACTGTACACGTGATTAATATGCGCGCGCTGTCGTCGGGGGCAGCGTTCATTACCCGAGGTAGCGTTTAACACACACACACACACACGCACACGCACGCACGCTGTGTGCCATGCACCGTCCCGATGATTAACGTCCCATATAAATCCCGTCAAGTTTTGCACTGGCACGGCACACGGAGTTTAATTCGCAACGCCTAATGCGCTTAATGAAGTTTAACAATTCCGTGTCTATACACACACGTAGATATCATACACGGATTATAGATAGGACGACAAAAGTGGAGGAGTTCGTTTAATGCGCAACAAAATATTATTCACCGGGGTTTTACGAGAACCGGGAGGAGATGTTTCCCGAAGCGACGTTAAGTTTAATTTTCGACTAACCCCCGTTAACAAATATTTTTCATCGATAAACGCGTACCCGCCGCCCGAGTAAAAAACGAAATATTAGTAAGAAAACGCCGCCGCCGCCATCACCAGCAGCAGTCGTCGTCGTCGATCCGGCGATAATCAACGGGGACAATTTAGGAAAATTAATTTCGTTTTTATTCAGTCGTCATTATAATAGGAACCGTTTAACGGGATATTATTTAAAATATTTTCAAAATGATTTTAATTCTACAAACACGTATACATTTTTGATTTTTTTTTTTTTTTTTTTAAATAGCAATTTTCCGTTTTTCAACCCAGATTCGAAAAGAGAATATTTATCTAAAAGTGTCAACACGCACAACACTCGTTCGATTTTGGATTTATAAATATGAGATTTTAATGAAAAAATTACACAATAGAACTCCTATATATTAAACATCAAATTCCTAATTATTAGCATGCCTTGAAATGTACAGGCGATCAGTGTAAATCACGTGCATGCGATTATTTTCAAATGTCTTTTGCACATCGAATTTAGAAAATATGTTCCATTATGTGATGAACGTAATTTATAAAAGATTGCATAAAATATTTTAAATGCGCGTAATGCCTTTAGTGACTTTTCCGAATAATACACCGATTAAACGCCAGTACCATAACCGGGAAAACGTGTCAGTAAGAAGGAAAAAGTGCTGATAATTTGTATTCGGTATTTACTACTACTGCACTTCAAAACTGTAAGAAGTACGTCGAAAAAACCTAAACCAATAGTAAAAAAGAAAAGAATTCGGAGGGAGATAAGGCAAGTGCTATCTGGTTACAGCATTTCTAAAAAAGATTATTATTATTCATGACAATTTCAGCAAATAATACAATTTGATTTTCCCGCAGTTCTTCTCTTTTTGCGTTTAAGTATAAATATATATAATTTTAACCTAAATACATAATATTGCGGCAAACAACGGCGAAACTCCCAACAAACGCTCGACTCGTACATTTTTTTTTTAGATGGTTACAAAATTATTGATTCATCCGCGCGCAGTAGTGGTACATCAATTAGCACGAACCCTAATTACGCCGAATCAAAACGAAATAATTAGTTATTTCGGATGATTGTGTAGGTGGTGTACATGAATATCATCCGTACATAGGTATATAATACATTCGAAATTACACTCGACGATATTTGTCATTTGAATTGCGTTCGTGTATAAATTTCGAGATAATATTATAACAATGATGACGACAAAAAATTACAAATACTTTCAAGCAATATTTTGTAAATAATAAAAGTAGGGACCATTTTCAAGTAACCATTTAGAGGGGAAACGGGAGCGGAAAAATGTCAGATTAGAAATCCGGGGATTTCTTAAAAACTTTTCAATTGTGTATGGGCGCTGGACGTGGGTCGACAGAATCGCCTTTCATATAAAGAAGTTCCCGTTTAAAACCGCCAATGAATAAACCATTTCTTTTCCCCCCTACAACCCACTCCCCCGTCGTATATATTATTTAAGGAACGTCCGCATTTTTTTTTTCTTTCTATAATACGAGAAAAAAAAAATACGAATACAAATATTACCATTTATCAAGTATATACCCCCGTATAATACGATAATCAATTTGAATACAGAACTGGCATTTAGTTAAAGTATATTTAATAAATCGTAATTGAACGATGCCAAGGACGGTGTTGATCAATTTATTTAATTGATAGAACTCAACTGTATATACTACTGAGTTACTTAACGATTATTCGTATTCGAATGTAAACGTAAAAAACGTTGGAAACGAAACGCAAAATATTATTCAAACACGGGTAATTGATGAACTATTAATGATAAATACCGTTACACAATTTAACCACGTTAACTGGAAATACGAATTCTCGTATTTTGAATAAATTTTCATTTTATTTTTTCATAATACCTAAGACTAAGCAAAAAAAACATTTTTTTTTTTCGGAACTATTTATAATACATATTTCATTATATTTAATAATATTATTAAAATAGAGGAAAAATATATATATGTATGTTTATTTTTTTTTTGTATAGATCGCAATGAAACGAAACGCGAAATATACTAAATTATACATTACTCCGTGTCATATTTAATTGGTATTATCTTCTGACACTTTTTTTTTTACGATTTATTGCTACCGATATAAAACCCGATGTCGGGAACCATGAGTTGATGCTAACTGATATTAATTGAAATATCGGTTGAAAATCCCATTTATAAACGCCTTTTTTTCTTTTTTTTTCATATTACAGAAATATTTTTTCTCGAAAAATTTCGGTTTTTTGAAACAAAATATCCATGTATAAAATATATACGACATCGGTTCAGGCCAATAATCACCGCTAATATTTAGATACTAACCTAAAATAATAATCATGTCTTAACTGCAGGGGAAAGGGGGTGGTGTTTGCCGAACTATTTTATTGGCTAATACAAAGCCAACTGAGCCGCTTTAATATTTCGGTACTTTGAACTTTGAAGCTCGCACAATATAATTAATAAATTAATAATAAAACTGCAATTCCGAACAATTCAAAGGAATATACTTGGGGGCAAATGGACAAATTATATTATAACAATTCGTTATTCGAACTATAATTTCAACCTTTAGGCTGAATTAAAAACATAATATTATAATATTGATGTTATTAATTTTTACGGGCAATACAATTATTATTAAGCAGATATAATGTTATATTAATTTAGATCTTTGACTTGTATAGCGCGTTCACCATCTATAAAACTAAAAATAAATATTTCCCAAATGAGAAATTGTGTCTTGGAACAAAAACACCCGTGAGCAGCATAAATGTATATTGCATTATAGCGTCTGGGATGTTTCTTTTGGAGTTTTCAACTTTCAACCTACGCCCCCCATAATTTAAAAGATAAAATTTCACCATTCGCTTGGAATCAGTAGTACATGGTAACTATATTAGTAGCGCAATAGTATATATATAGTATTCGGTTCGTTATTGTTTAACAAAAAAAATGTCTGAATAAAATAAGTAAGAAAAAATTTGACTCTATATAGTCTACAGCAACTGCATCTCTAGGGGGTTTTTGTTTTTAAATTAAAATTATTTCTTTTGCTGAATTTAAATGGGATATTTTACCGCATTTAATTCACTGACATATATATGTATTTTTGGTCTCGGAGAAAAAGAACTTTGGTCATTTTCAAACAAAAATACTAACGAATTAGATGTTGAAAATCGCTAAGGCCTAACCCACTGAATTACAGGCGTTATAAATAATGGCTATATATAATTATAATACGACTTATATCTTTCTATTCAAACAAAAAATACTCATCATAATGCCTAAAGATATTTAAAATCTTCAGTATAACTACGTGTAAGAACGTATTTCTGCGATTAAGATAGACAAATAATAATAATACAAAAACATGCCAAGAATTAAATTAAGCCCTCTTCTTCACCAGACACAAAGATTACTAAAGATTATCCAAAAACTATTACTAGGGTATCGGAATATATTATTATATGGGTACCTATCAAAATAGCATAGTTATTATAATACTACCAAATAAAAGTTTATATCGAATCGATCGAGTCAATAATACAACGGCGTTTAAAATGAAAGGAAAAGCAACTTTAAAAAGCAAATAACAATTTAACGTTTTGTATTAGTTGTGTATAGTGGAGTAGTGGGTAGTAGTGAAGATAAAATACAAAAAAGAATGACTCGAAGCAATTACGGTGTATCGGTTTTATACGTAGTATACGGGGTAACCTACCAAGTCTTAGACATTACGTGGTATTATTATATTATTAGTTGAAATGTTTTTACATCGTTATAAAAAAAAAAAAACACGCGATCGATGAAAAACACGAACCGTTTTACGACGATGATTATATGATGATACAATTATACGAATCCGTATTTAGGGAATATATACATGTACAATATTATGTATCTATATACATTTTTTACATATCGATTGGCATATTACAATATTATACGTTGTAATTCCGTTTTTTTTTTTTTTTTTTATTATTACTATTTTCATTAGAAAAGTATAACAGAAAAAAGTAATGTAATAACACATTACGGTTAAAAAAGATATAGTCACGCAGTATTCTCGTAAGTTTGCGACGTAGAATATTATAATATTTTCTACCGTGACGTATACACGAGGAGAAAAAAGTCCTAAGCACACAGACTGTAAATTCCATGCAACATTTTTATTATATTTGATTTCGGAAATGTTGGAAAACGCGCGAACCAGTGTTTGTTAGTTGCAGTGAGCACAGGAGGTGGTAGTTATATTTATTTTTTATGGTCGAAATCGAACGATATGCTTAAAATTCAAATTTACAAAAAAAAAAATTAAATAAATAATGTATCGAAGGAAAAAGAACATAAAAATACGAACAACTACTACACGTCAATATCGGGGCATTTCTGTTTCCAAATAAACACACACTAAAGTACATTTACACCATCTCCATTTTCACGGACACCCGGTAAATGATTCGAGATTGTATACACGCTGTGCGACTACCATAGAAAATAAACGACTAATTTTCGAATTATAATAGAGTAGATTTTATAACAAAATATAATTTATTTTCTAACGGAAATACTCTCACTGGCGATGGCGAGAGAAGGGGGGAGATTATTGGAGAAAATCCAAAATTTAAGAATGAAAATGGGTTTAGTTTATATGATCGTGGAGCATTTAAGGGAGGAATGAATACGCTTTGGTATATGCTAAAAAGTTCCTTGGCCAATATCGTATATGTAATAAAAAAAAATTTAACTATCGCCTATTTATACCGAAATGTTTTTTTTAATTACGACATAAGTAGTATTTATTTTCGAGTAAAAAACAGAACAAAATATAAATTTAAATTAATTTTAAAATGTTTAGGCCCCGGTTTGCGTAGAACTGAATAGATATGTACAAAAATAAATCAAATACAAAAAAGTAACGTTTTCAAATTCAAACGTAGGTACAGAAAACCATAATAAGGAACATGGGATACGATTAAAAAAAACGTTCATGTTGGACGATTAAAACTATGTTAACCTTCAGCCGACACGTATTTTAAACAAATTATTTTACAATACCCACATTATTGTGTATAATATAATATCGTATACATTTTCTATTTGGTAGACAAATTTAATAAAAATCCACTGTGAAACGTGATGCATTAGACAAGCAATATTTTGCACTTGACAGATAATCGCGCATATATACATGACAGTCGACAATACGAAAGGAAATGATGGATTAGACTCTTGTATTCAGCGGATATTGTAGTAAATTTATCATCGTACGTAAAAAAAAAAAATACGAATATCGGATTAAAGAAAAATACAACCACCGCCAGTTAAAACCAGATTAGTTCTGTAACTCAAGACGACAAGTGGGGACACAACTGGGTAATTAAAAAATATATTATTTAAGTACTTATACACTATAATAAACCAGTGATGAAAATGTCCAACCCAACGCGCAAAATAAATTAGTACGGTTTGTGTTTGGATCGCCTGGATAAAATAATCGCCTAAAAGATAATTTGGATAGCGACATGCTTATATATTTTATCTAATTTTATAAAACCAAAATATATTATTTTTATCAGCCAAATTATTTCTATAAAGTTACCAATTTCTACTAACTATATCATACATCTTGATAGTAGAATACAAATCTTTATATTAAAAAAAAAAAAAAAAAAAAGTAGACAGACTTATGGCTGTAGTATAATTTATTTGATATGTTCTAAATCTGAATTACCTACCAATAAATATACTACTTATATGTCTATCTTTTTTTTTTTCAAAACAAATTATTAAGTGTATTAGATAACTGAAAATAATCTGTTATCTTACATTTTTACAGTCCTTATTTTTATATCTTTTATATAGACAAAAATATTGGTTATCTACTCCAATACCTAGTCTTCAGGTACCTAGTTAACAAAACAAACGCATTGAAATAATTCAAAAACTAGTCAAAAGTTATTATTAGATACATAACAATTATTACATTTTACATTTATCTAGAATACGATACCGATAGTGATTACAAAACAATTGGCACATGTTATAATAACACATATAATTGTACTATAGCTGCAGTTGTTTCAGAAGCAAAACAAGCGTGTAATATGCGAATAATCCGCTTATAAGCAATTATCACTGTACACAGTGAGCCGACTATAATTCTCCAATGTATTATATTACGCACTTTGTCAGCCTAATTCGCAATTGTAACGATTTTGAGAAGGTTATATTTAATGGTTAGAACAAAACTAACGTATCGTTTAGACCATTTGCACTGTCATAGGACAACAATTTGTTCATGGAATCAGCTGCAGATTAGTACGAATGAGTACATTTATCTGTCATGGAAAGCAGCCAGTATGTATGGTTACTACGATTAAAGACAGACTTGTAAAAAAATAAAAATATTTATCGAGATTTTTAGCGCGTACACCGATGAACTGCAACAACCGCGGAATGAATAACAACCTTGGCCTCGTATAATATAAAACACACGTTACGTTTTGTTTTTCAATACACTTCATTAAAAAAAAAAAAAAAAACCACAAGACGTTTTCCAAAAATAAATTTATATTTAGACGACAATAATCTCGTGCTCGTGGTTAGAACCGAAAACCTGGCGCGCATCCAGAACCTCGACGATACAACACACCGATTCAGCAGCTCTCCGAGAACGCTACACGGAGACGCGCAACTATATTTGCATTGCGTTTACGCGCTAAGTATACGTGTAATTATAAATTATTCTTCTTGCGGAGTTTTGTAAAACTTTCGGCGAAAACCCGCACGAACCCGTTCATGAATAATGCAGCGGCGACCGCGAATGCGCATTAGCTTTCTGTCGGTTAAAAGTTTATTATTAATCTAGTTTCTAATATTGGTCGCGCGGAGGTTACACTACACCGAAAAACCGTTGTATAGCCGGCACGCACCTACTCCACGCAGCGACGAAAAACGCGCGGAGGAGAGAGGAGGAGATCGGCGTGCGGAGGGTCGTCCGATGTCCGGCGATATTAATAAATGAACTTTGCGACGTACACCGAAAGTTAATATCGGAAAATGATTGCTTTTCGTATGATACAGTAGCACAATGCGGGGAACAATGTGCAATTACTGGGAAACCAGGACGCACGCGCGGGAGTATACGGGACGCGAAGATGACCACCGCCGGCGGTCGTTAATGTCACCACCGCCGCGTCGCCGCGCACTCATCCTACCGGGAGAAACTCGTATTACGCGGCGCGGACTATATTTTATACGGTATTATATTATTGTTAACGAGATATAAATCGCGCCCGGGAAATGCGACGTACAATATAGTAAATAAAAAAATATGAAAAAAAAAATAACCACGATTCGCGAGAATCTTGTTCTTAAAAGAATTCAAAAGCCGCGGTTTTTCGCGCAATAAATCGAGCTTTGTTCCCGGCGACTCGGCTAAAAATCTAAAATATACAATTTCCGCGCGGTTATTGTATTTGTATGCCAATAGGAAAGGTCGAGGGTTAGTAACCACTACCTCCGTCCACCCAACGCACACGCCACTGAAACACTATATTATTTTATTTGTTTCCATAACAAAACCCGTACATAGTAAGATATGTAAATATATACTAAAAATCGTAAATCGATATGTATTATCGTATCATGTTTTATATTAGGAGCCTCGGGCGATTCTTCCTTCGCGATAACCGGGAAAAAAAAAAAACCCGCGGAAGAAGTGACGGAATCTCGTCTCCCTCTGACCCATACTACCGAAGCTATATTGGAATATTTGTGATTATACAAGTCGCCGTACGATGTTTTTTTTTCTCTCATCATCCGGCGTACGAAGGACACTGGAACCCATCCGATGATCCCGTATTCATTATTGTAACACGGGCCTTTCTTCGGAAGGTAATCGATTACGTTCCGACGACACCGCAAAACGCAAATAATACGTCAACGGCGCGCCACCGGCGGAAATTAAAAATCGACAAGGTTTTTTTTTTTTTTTATGCGACGCAATGCCTATATTAAATATAGACGCGGGATTTTCTCGGGACGTTCGCGGACAATGGCGCCGTGACATCTCGGGCAACTATACGTGGAGAGTGAAAAAAAAACCCTAAACCGCGAGGCCTTTGACCCCCGTACTCCCCCTCACCGATAATACGCAATGCGCGCTATTAGATATATATAGTCCCGAAACTCTTCACCGCCGCCGCAACGACACATCTGCGACGTATTTCCATGATACCATCGCGAGTTTTCGCATGTAAAAACACAAAACGACATCACAACGCACGCATATCTCATACGAGGAATTGGAATTCTATCAGTCTGTTCATCCGTCATATAAGACTTTAATCAAGATATCGCGATGTAACTTTCCAACGGTCGGCTTCCAAAACAAGAGTAAGGATCGCCGTCTTTTTATTTATTTAATATTATCGCCGTCTTATTTTTATCTCGCAATTCAACTATTGAACGGTGGGGGGGGCCGATTTGAGGAACAGAAATTAAATTTGTACAATTTTGTTTTGTTGTTGATTTATGGGTTAAAAAGCTCGGGTGGAAAAAAAACTGTGAAACACGATGTATCCGTCTTGAAAGATAAATTACCGAACAATACCGATTAACACGACGCGATACGGATAAGGGTGGAGGAACCGGGGATACGCGTCAAATTGAATATTTCTTTTATCGATTTCTCTGTTTGCGAAAGAATTGAGCCCGGGAAACAACCGACATAACAATATCAATAGTCGTGCGTAGAAAGCCTAAAAAAAAGTGGGTGGCCAACTGATTAGATAGCAGCACAGTTAATGTTTCGTCCGGAAATTAACACAGATACTAGATATCATAAAAGTATTCGAAATAGTTTGTATTTTACGAATGAAGATATCTATGCCCGATTTTAATCGGTTTTTACACTCTTATATTTGTATTTAACGCGTTTCGATTTCAAAACTGGACCACCGACATCATATAAAACGATAAAAAATACACACCGTCCGTAATGCTATCGCCGGTGTGACAACGGCCGTTCGGTGGGCTGGCCGCCACTTTATCTCACGGCGCATAATAAACGTATACACGGTACACTGAAAAAACGGGTTACCTTTTCATCCACCGTTTAACGACGCCCAGACATCCGTCGGCCGGTTCCCGGAGCGCGGACAGCGCGTCTTCGTACCGGCGCTGCTCGTCGGGCGGCAGTATCGTTATAATGGTGTACACCACGATGCACTGGTAATCCATGTTGCGGGGGGGGGAGCGGGGAGCGGGGCGACGGTATCGCGTATAACAACAATGACGATATAATAAACGGCGATCAAATACTGTTACGGAACGATTTTATTTTTTGCGGCGTATTGATGTCATAACGGTCGCGCAAGTTTATGCGATAACGAACGGGCCATGTCGGTCGGTGATAATTTGCCGGTCGCAGACGCTCTCCGCGACGACGGACGCGGCCAAAAAGTCGTCCCTCCGACGAGTAATTATAAATTTGCAACGTCCGCGAGACGTCCCCACTACTAGTGTACGCTGGTGAATAATATACCGCGGTATACAGACGGGTGGCGTATGGTGCCGCGCGGCAATTGTACGCGACGTGCTATTTTCCGTTTTCCCGCGGCGGCGATGATGCGACCGCCACCGCCGCCGCCGCCGCCGTCGTAGAAAAGCGCGGAAAATCTATGGCGGAAAGTCCGCGGAAAATACCGCACCGGAACAATATAATCTGGCGGAAAACGACCGCTACGCACGACTGCGGCGAACGGGCCTCGCCGCAAAAGCTCCGAGACGACTTCGTCGTAACGGCGCGGCTTGGTGTCGTCGCGGCACAGCAGCAACAGGCCGCCGGCGACGGTGGCGCTCTGGCCGTCTGCTCGTCAAACGCCGCTGCCGTCGCCATGACGATGTCGAAAATTACATATATTTCACCTCGCCGACGACGGAAAAACGGTACACACAGGGTGCGACGAAACATCCAACGCTCCCACTATAACATGAAAGTCTGTTCGGACCGATCATCCCGTTTCGCTCGAAATACCGAACGGGTTGAGCAAAAACTCTGCACAGATTTAGTTCTAAACCAAGAATATGCTACTTCAACCCCACTCCTCACTATTCAACCCCCAAGTTGCCGCGGGGTCATTGGTGTTTCGGAGGCGGAAAATCACGTTTACTGATTTACAAGCTAAAAAAAAAAAAACACGTCGAAACAAACTAATTTCCGTGTAAGGGTCGAAGTAATAGCACAAAACAATAATAATAATTTGTGTATTATTTCTTTCGGCACGGGCAACGGCGGGCGGGACAATTAGTCTTCGATAGTTTTCAGAGCGAATAAATCAAAATTAAAAAAGTTTCGAGACACGCGTGTTTCTCATTTTGTATACATTCATCGATTCACATTAACGTTTGACGACGGTTCGATTTATTTATACTGCAGTAATCAAATGCGAAATTTATACTGCAGTAATCAAATGCGAAAATATCCGTCGAATGGTCTCGAGTGGTGTTATTGTCGTTGTCCGGAAAAAAAAAAAAAAAGTTGTCCGGAAAAAAAAAAAAAAAACACGGCTCCGTCCAGCCTTCTACGCGGGGCGCGCGGCGCGTTCGTTACGCCGAGTGTTTGCGAGAGGCATTCGGACGGTGTATTTTGAAAATCTCTCGAGTCATCGAACGGACATTCCGAACGCGGGTTTTTCACGGCGAACCCGACCGCCGCCGAGCCTACGGCGTGTGTATACGGTGTGTAACAGGGGCACAATGCTCCCGAGATTCTCCGGCAACGCTGCGTGTACATATAACAAACGCCGCGCTTCAGAAACCGTACAGGACGTGGGTTTTGCGGCACTCTGTACAATAAACACGCGGCCGTTCTCCCTCTCCTGCTCATACAACCGCCCCCGCATACTCGCAGACCGCGACCGGCTTGTGTGTTTTTCGCCGTCCCGTTATTTTGATCGCGGCACACGTGCGTAGGGGGTACACCGTTATACGACGTTGTACAATATCATCGCTCTGTCGTCATTTCGTCAACGCCCCCCTCCCCACTCCCCCCTACCGGGCTGTCCAATTATTATTGTTTCGATACATCCCGAAAATCCTATATAGGCGCACGCGTACATCGTGTACAGGATGATCGATTTCCCGACAATTGCCTATAGGCAAACGCCAACAACTATCTGCGACTAAAACTTTACAGACTCGTGGGATTTCCCGTAAATAGACGACATTTCCATTTGAAAATCGAGAGTATATCGAGAGTATATCGAGAGTATCTCCTACCAGTTCCACGGGCAAACGCATAAAATTGAAAACATAATAATTACACTTTAGTACCCCAATACAGTATGTGTATGTGACAGTTTTCGAAAAAAAAAAAAAAAAAAAAAAATGTTTATTTCCCGAGATAAATTGAATGGAATACGAAATATTTATAGTCCCGTGTATATATAATATACACACGGAATAGCTCGCCGTGAGAGGATTTTATAATATGGCTGATTTCCGGTTCAATATTCATTTCGGGTTTCGTGGTACTTATCGTATATTAAAAGTCCTAACTTGACCTAATTTATGTTTTCCAGGCATACGTACAAAGTACCTATATGTACAATATGCTATTTATTTTAAAACTTTAAACGTATTCGAAATTTAACTTCCGTTTGAAACCGGAATGAAAAGTTGAAAGGCGGATGTCGCGTGGTAATGAAAACGGGAAGGAAAATCAAATTGTGAAATTCCGTAATGGGTGAAAAAATCCGATAATACCTATATCGAATCCAGCCCCTCTCCACACCTCTAATGACTACTTTAATGTACAAAAACCATTCTGCTTCAGCATCGAAAACTTATTTCGAAATCCTGGGTACGTCAATGCAGATCTAGGCATTTGTTTAGTGATCATCCGCTATGTGTCTACTCCGCTCTCCCATTAAAAAAAAACAAACAACTACCGGGCGATAGACACCGTAACCCGATTGCTTAACTTTTGGACTTGATAAAGTTATCCGTCACTCCGGCGAGAGTATTTCCAATGCGTAGAATGTAATATCGTATTTTATTAAAAGGTCTCCCGCTACTAATTCACAAATCGTATGAACGGGTCACACACACTTGCGGTAAGCCAAATGTTATTCTACCGGGGTGTCCAATGAACGTTGCTGCGCGCGAATATTGGAAAATGTCTGCGGGCCTAGTGGCGCGGGATTTTCAACGAGGGAAAACGCCGCGCCGCACCACCACTCCGCGCCAAGCGCAAATTACTACAGTGTACACTTCGAACACGGTGCAGTGCGGAATATTACCGGTGTCGTATCGCATCGCGTTTGCAACAATACGAGAGCAGAATATTGTGCCCAGTCACTATACACCGATGTTATCGATCTATATACAACAAAACACAACCATCCGTCCTGCCCCCGTTTCAGAGCCGTCCGCCGAGAATCACGATCTCGGCGAGCTTGAGCGCTTTCGTACATTTTGCCGCCCGCGTTTATAAAAGGAAAATAAAACGGAAATCCACCGCCGCCGTGTTGACATATAAAAAAAAAAAAACCCAGTCTAGGGGAAATTTTTCAAGAGAAATAATGCGTTTTCGTACATACACCGCCGATATATTATTGTCAAGCGATAAAAAAAAAAAAACAAGTATAAAACATAATACGCAACCGTCGTCAGAATCGTTATTATGGGATTTATTCGCACTTATACTCGAGTTATATACGGGGAAGGAAACGTAAATTTTAAAAAATATATATACATTTGAGACAACTGTTATAGAGAGAGCTCAACGCCATAATAAAAAAAATATGGCGACTAAAATATTATACATAAACTAAATTACTTTTGGTGCGCGCAATTTAATCCGGACTGCCGGCGGCGATTTAAAAACAATTCGACGGAATACATAATATTTGTAAAAAAAAAATATAATAATAAATAAACGTTAAATGAAATAAAAACCGGCAATAGAATATTATGTGCGTGCATTTTTCATTCTAAACGGATAAACGTTTTTATGTTAATCATAATATTATAATTATGGTTTAATGTCGCAAAAATTGTTCCGAGTCGCATACGACTGCGGTGGCGTTCCCGTTGGGGAGAGGGGGTGGGCTAAGGGGCTTCGGTTTTAATACTATAGTAATGAAACAATACTCTCTACGCTTGTTCCGCACTACTAATTCAAGGTAAAAATAATAATCCAAAAAAAAAAAAACAATTGAGAAAAAAATGCTAAATTCGGGAAGAATTATGTGCGCTTCGCCGAACAAAATAAATTGTTACGTTTTCCAAGTATATATAGGCGGTGCAGCGTATAAATTGTCAAACAAATTACTCGGGTACTACTAAATTTTTGACTCGACAACAAGTTTTGGCTTTACCGGGTGAAAAATGGGTTCACGAGGTATTTCTCCAAGGATGATCTAAGGCGATTGTCGAAAGTTTGATAAATCTCTCAAACCCATTGGGTGTCGTTCTATAGATCAGTCTTTTAGACCATTGCATGATATGATAAATAGGTATACGCGAATTTTATAGTCGTTTTAAACATCTATTACCAAATAGACACAATAATACGGCAATAGTACGTAACACACGCGTGTGTCCGATTTATCAATACTATGACACGTCTAAAATAAAAATGTGTCTGCGTGATCCGTATACGGAAAAATAAATAAAACAAATTACGCTTTTTCTCAAACGGATACACAGACACGCATCGCAGGTCACACAATAGCTAAACAAGAACGAATATATTTTTAAAACCTATGCATTTTGAGATATTAATATTAATTATACATATTTTATTCACTATCTCCACTTCCATAACGTGAATAACGTATTTTAATTGAAAAAGTCGAAAACAATAAACGTACACAATTAAACTCATTCTGCTCACTGAATTCAAATTCGTATATATTATGAATCTAATTTTAATTGACTCGGCTGCTATACTAAAACGTAAAACAAAAAACACACGGAACAATTAAACCTCTAGACGGGTTTTAATTAACTCGTTTTTAATAATATTATTGTTATACCGTTGATTACTTAACAATGTAAGGACGAAAACACTACGACTGAATTTCAGAAAACCAGAAACATTGGGGATTTTTCACTATTATTATATTATTATATTTTTTTTTTTTATGAAAAGTACCTTTCACTTAAACAACGGTTTCGATATGACAAAAAAGTGCGCGTTGAAATTCAATTAGAACTACACGAGTTTTTCGCCGACAGTGGTCCAGTATTTTGAAATAGAATAGATACGAAAAATATTATTTCAGCATTGACGTAGTAAAATAATAATTTTTACCGGGATGGTTAATGCAATAATCCATAATTGTTTTAGCACAGTTTTAAATTAAATTTTAATCAACCCAAATACCTAAATAGATATGATAACAGTTACCATAAAACATAATTTATCTAAATTGATTATTAATATGATTATTGCGCCCGTGATTGAGTAACTGAGTTCATATAATTGTTGGGGCAACATAAAAATCGATAGTGTATCGCAGAGTTTTAACAAAAATCCAATATTATATTGTAACACTCAGCGTGCACTAAATACAAATAGTGTGCGCAATTACTTCGTCAAATCGAAAACGCTACAAAAATCATCAATTTCAAAGAAAAATTTTCCCAAAAATTCCATTAAAATTGTCCATTTTGTTTTGTCAATATTTAACAATATCGGTACCTAACCTTCATTTTAAAAGTCGAAAAATAAGCCATCACAACAGTTCTATATATTTATATTCTAATATAAAGTGAGCTATTATAAATTGTGTACGAGTATACTATAAAATTCCGAGACTAGTAGAATATCGGACCGATTGTTAGTCATCATTGTGTTATATCAAAAGCTGTAGATATGGGTCGAGCCACTGTAGAGTTACTATGGTAACGGTTCAATAGTGGTTACCAAAATACGTGTACCATTGAAAATATTGCAGAAATATATTCGCGTAAAAATGGAAATTAACATTTATATTAACAAAAACTAATAATAACAGATAGTTTAAATTTCAATACTGAATACATAATTATAAAAATCAAATGATTATCTTAGAAAAAAAAAAAACAAACAAAAAATTGGATACTGCTGATAGAAGTGCCACCGTTGTAGGCAGGAAGTTGGTTAGATAGACAATTATGCATAGAAGAGCTGTTTAAATTATTGCTAGCGAAAAACGATTTTAGGCTTAGTTTGATTAAATGTATATTTAATTGCCACGATTATTATGATTTTTAAACTAATTCGAACTATTAACACTTAAAACAACTACTTTTTTTTCTTTACTAACTACAACTTACAATGGAACCCTTGTAAATATGTTTAATCATTTTTGCTGCGACGAAACTATTTTATCCATAAAAAAAAAACTAACATGCCAAATAGCTATAAATAACTTAAAACTTGGAAAAATGTTTTGAAAATATTAAGTCTATGTAAAATGTATAGGCGGAATAATTAATTTTGAACAAATATTGATAAAAATGGACTAGTGCTTAGTTGAAATTTTGTTTTATTGCACAGCATTCGTGCTGTGAACTGTAGTAATAAGTGTAATTTAATATTAACTTAAGTTTAACTAAAACATTTTTTTATTTCTCTTTCAAATTCCTTGATCCCTGGCCCAGCACAGATTTTAAGATAGGCTGCATATTGGAATCAAGGATAGAACATATATTGGAAGGTAGCCATAATTTTAAATAATATACGTAATTATTGCAAACGAAAGAATGACTAAAAAATAAAAATTTTAATTTAAAACCTATTATGCATTTTTTTTTTTCAGATTTATTATCTAGTAAATAGGAAAAAAAATTATATCTGATAGTTACACAGTATTATCACTGAATAACCATGATTCTGTGTATCTAAATAATCGATTAACAATATTATTCTACATGGTAATATTATCAAGCTATAAAATAATATTATGTAATATAAAATAATAAAGATTTGTGTCTAATAATCCAGTTCGGTGTATAATAATAATAATAAATATTAATAAAAAAACATTGATGTAAACTAATAATTAAAAATAATAATAAAATGTTTCACAGAGAAAAAGTTTAGTTCCATGGCATTAATATGATAATGCAATGAGTGGACGATAAATAATAATAGTGTATAATGCATACCCTAATAATAACTACAGTGGATTATTATGTAAAAATGTACAATTTTTATTTTGTGTTGCTTAACATAAATCATCATTATAGAAGATAAGAACTCTTAGTATGTGTAGGTATATTCCTACCTAATATAGTTGATTGTACTTTATGATATTATAGTTCATATAAGTAAACACATAAATAAATTCCGCTATAAATAATTTTAAATTAAAAATGCAGAAGTTTTCAATCAATATTTAAACATATGTGCTTGTTGTTAGAAAATATATTTTGTAATATTTCACTGTCATATTTTTATCATACTCAGACCAATTGTGTAAATATTTTAAGCAGTCAAAATAAAGCCCTAAGTTTTTTTTAAAACTTTTCAAAAAAATTAAACACATACTTGCAGCTTTTGTGCTACACTCAGAATTTAAAAACATTATAAAACTCACATGTTCTACTCAAAATATATACAAATATATTTCAAGTTTACACTGTACATATTAGGGTTTAAGTAAAAGTACCCAATATAGTTTAATAGACACTAGCAAATGGTATGCTTTTTTTTTAATAAATGAGTCATCTGCTCTAATTCTCAAAATATGTGAAATACAACACAATTAACATAATTAGGATATCAGTGATTGATTAAATATTTTTTTAATTTTTGAGTTTGATCATTTATGGTTTGAACCAATAAGAAAATAAATCTCTTATGAAACTTTTGTTGACAATTAAAAATCGATATTCTATTTTAAATATACAGGGACTCCCACAAGGATTTGACAAAAGCAATAAGTTTTGTTCTATTCAATGTTTGATATAATTTTTTAAAAGTAATTAGTATGTCTCAGCACTACAGTTTATATATGAATATTTTTTTAAGAGGAAGAGGACACAAAATAAAAAATAAAAAATTTTACTATATTTTTTTTAAAAAAAATTAAAAATAGCCATTTTGTAAAATTTTTAGAAAAGTGTTGATGGTTGAAACTTTTGTTTAAGTATTGTCTTTTAATCTCTAAGATTTTTTGGAAATTTGAATAATTTTCTTTTCAATCATAACAATTATGTTTATCAACATAAATTACCATTATTGATTGATTGAAACTACCTCATAACTATAATATGATATTATTATTGCATGATATTAACTCATAGAAAAGAAAATCCTGACAAATAACTGATAACTGAATAACCACAATAGGTAATATTCACATTTACAAAACTTTAAAAAATCATAGAAAATAAAAGACCATACTTTAACAAAAGTTCCAATCACCAAAAATTTTATAAAAATCTATTTTCCAAATGCCTATTTTGAATTTTTTTTTAAAAAAATTGTAAATTGTCAATTTTAAGTTCCCCTCATCCTAAAAAAAAATTGTTCATATATGAACTGTAGTGCTGAGGCATACCAATCATTTAAAAAAATTTAAATCAAAATTATCAAATAGAACAAAAGTTATTGAATTTGCCGAATATTTGTGGGACACCCTGTATATAACAAGATTTAACTAAATATGATTATTTAACAATACCGACATAAATCTTTTTCCTATCAATAAAATATTAGTGATCACTACATGGCCTACATAAAAGAAACACTAGTTATCTGATATAATATAATTCAAACTTATTTTTATAATAATGAATTTCCATTTTAATAACTACTTCTAATTTTGTTACTTAATATATATGGCATTAATGACATGAACACACGTACGAAAAAAGTGTGAGAACACACAATGAACCATAAAATATGTATACATTTAACTTTTTCAAAGAATAGTAAACTACAGAATACAGAATCAATAAAATATATACTTAAAAGGTAATTAATAAATTAGTGAGTAGTTTATAAAGAAAAGTTCATAATTAAGTTGTTCTTATTTGTTTATTTTTGGTTTATTTACTCGTCTTGTACAAAATTATTAAAAACTGACATTAAAACAGTGGTGCATGTATTAAAAAATAAAATTATGTTGTAATAAAGAAATGAGTTAGGTATGCCAGGTACATTTTAATTATAAAATAGTTTTTGAACCCTTTGAAATTAAAAATGTATAATTAAAAAATGTTCCTTTTAATTTGTAGGTAAAAATATATGAATAATGAAAACAAATCCATGAATGATATTATTTAAGTGAAATTTAATAAAAACCAAATTTTATACCAAAAATCTAATCAATGTTGACAAAATTCAGATTTTGTAATTTGTTTAATTTTCCTAGTTTTAGTTTACTTTACATTTAAGTTTTTGTATTTCGATAACAAATTTAAACATTAGATTTAAAATTAATGTTTTGATAATAAAAATGTATAAACACTATAATACTTACAAAGATAGACCAATTAATCTTTTAATTTTAATTAAGGCATAAAATTAAATATTATATTTATGATTTACCTTACATGACACTTAATAATGTATATATATATATAACTAATAATATTACAAATTAGTTTAAAGTAAATATTTTTTAAAAACTATGGAAATAAAATCATAATATTTTAACTACTCACCTATCAAATATTCTTGATTCTTTCAATACATTTCCCAAATTAATGTATGCATCTAAAAAGTTTGGATCCAAAGCAACAGCTTTTTCAAAGTGATGGATAGCCAACCATATTTCATTTAGAGAGTTGAAGACACACCCAAGATTGCTCCAGGCAACAGCAAAGTCTGGTCTGGTTTCAATTGCTTTCAAATAACAAGACTGTAAATAAAAATAAAGCAGGATCCCAAAGGAAATTTAGGGAAAAGGAAAAAGAAAAATATCAATTAATAAATAGCAATAACTCTGTTTTATACTTTAAGTGTAAACGGAAAACAGAATGAAAAAAGTGTGTTATGTACAAATTCCTCTCCAAAAAGTTGTTTAAAAAAAGTTGGAAAAGCGCAAGACATGTAAATGTCTAAACCAAGACTTTAGTTTTATCTGTAAAGGCTGTTAAAATGATTTAAGTGGTGAAATATATTGAAAATAATTTTTATTTTCTGTTAAAATTAAAAATAAGAGAATAAAGACATTTATAATCATTTTAACAGCAACCATTCAAAACGCGCATCTACGCTGCAACACAACACGATTAAAAAATGTTTTATTTTTGGAATCGTGCTATGTTTATAAGGGACCTAAACGCGCTCAAGCCATACTTCATATTTTAGATTTCAACACAATAGAAGTGTTAGGAGAGAAAATGTACACAAGCGCGCGTGCTTCGTCATTAACTTCGCATCCCTTGACACATTCCTATAAACAAAAACAAAAAATGCACTTGTTAAGAAAAAAAAATCCTAACGTAAAATATTTGCCCACTTCAATAGGAGAAAATCATGACTTATGTACATCTTAACTTTAGACTAACTAATAGTGTTGTCATAACAATATTAAAAAATATCATCATTTTCTCAAAGAAGTTTTAAAGAATTATTAAGATATCAGAATAAAAATAAAAATAAATATTTGGCCCTTTTTGTGAAACCGGCGTCGACACCGTCGACATGATCATTGTTACGAGAGTGTGAGGCGAGTGGTTACCAGTAAATTTAGTACTTTTGGTGTAATTTCCCGTTTACAAAATTTGATTTTAAGACTTGTGAATTAATTTGTACCTATAAATGTATGAGGTGGTAGCTATTCAGGAAATAGGAACACACTCGCCGTACATCCTCATCAATTAAACACAGAACATTTTCGTACATGGACCTAGAAAAATTGACGGATGGTACCTGCAAAGTAAAAAAAAAAAATCCGAATGATATTAGTATGTACGTGTTTTAAATTATATTTAAATATATATAAAATAAAAAAACTAGTATTTTCTTCACGGAAAGTAATTTAATCTGAACTTTTAATATAATAAAAATATATAATTCTTTTGGAAAGTTGATGAAGTTTTGTTGAATTATTTAAATAATACACTATATTCAAATGTATAAAAGATTTTGGATAGTTGTTACTATAATTGGAAAATAACTTCAAAAGCTATTATATTTCAAAATAAAAATCATAAAAAAGGTTTAGCTTTGAAAGAACACTTTCTCGATCAAAAAATAATCATTTGGAAATTAATTGAATTTCAATTTATTTTATACAAAACCAATTTACAGTAAAATGTTTTGTTGTTTAACTTATTACACCCACAAATAAGATATTAAAATCTAAATGATAGGAATACCCAAATCGAGAAAGTTAGAAATGATTTGTTTTAATTACTTACCGTTAATATCAAGGAAGTCAGGGTTCTCCATCAATTTTTGAAGCCAAGGAAACAACTTGGATAAAAATAAAAAATAAAGAACTAATAGGAAAAATAGGTTTAAGATGACAAATAATGAAAATAACTCGAATGAAGAGGTCAATATAGGCGTTGATAACTTTTTGTTGTAGACCGGCGCATTGAAAACTTTTAATGAAATCTCATCAATTGGATGAATCAAAGTTTTTAATACTTTTGTTTTCTCTATTGCAAAGTAACTAAGAAATCATTTTATAAATGTTAGAAATATAAATATGAAACATTATTTTTACTCAAATTTACTCAAAACAGAAGTTATTATAAATTTAAAAAATGTCATTAAATAAGTAAAATACAAATTATGAAAAATATAAAGAGAAAATTTCAGGGATCAATTATAGCAAACATACATAGGTTACAAATACCATTTATGTGTTTTACTAATTTAAGTATAAATAAAAAGGAAAAGACTTAATTAAATTGTTTTATATTAAAGTAAATTCATTACTATTAACAACTATAGTAATTGATTTCTTTAAAACAAATTAAATTTGCAAAAAGTAATATTTGCTTCTTAAATTCATCAAGTAAATATATAAAGTTGAAATCAAAATATTTATTTTTGTTTCTTTGCAATAGAACTATAAATACTTTTAATTAAATTTTTTTTTTTTTTTTTTAATGCAGAGTAAAATTTACTCCATAGAAATTGAAAGACAGATATTGGATATTCATCAACAAAAAAAACATACAGTTTCCAACACTGCATCTGTTTGTCTTTATTATAAAAATATGTTCTTAAATAAAACTGCTCATTATTATAACCACGAACCAATCGTGATATAAAAATAACTGTATAAAACAAAAGACCAACAGTCAATTTTGCAAACTATAATGCTATTATGTGTATTCATAGAATACGATAAAAAGAATTAAATGCTCACATTAAAAAAATTCATATTTAGAATCTAAAATTTGTCAGATTTCATTATAATTTTGATAAGGTACTCATACATAAATCGTTAATATGATATATAATTTGAACTATTCATTTTTTTTTAAATAAAACATTTAATTCTTTTCCGCGCAGAAATAAAATATGCAAGCGCCGCGCATGTCAATTGAATCATTATGTATGTTTTCAAAGCTTGCCTTTTTTCTTTTAATAATTTGTTAATTTTATTTAAAGACATATACATATTAAAATTATATATATGATTTGCACATATATTTATAAACAAAAACATATATAATGATGTACAACTGAAATTCCGCAAACAACAAAAAAAAATACACTATTGTTCACGGAATAAAATTATTTTACAACTAAAACTGAAGTTTTTGAACCAATTGATTGATTAAGTCTCAAGTAATAAAATCCATTTTATAAATTCATTTGTTTCAAAAACTTCAATTATAATGTACGCGCAATAGATGAATACCAATTGCGGTCTTGAGATGTTAAATAAACAAACAACAATTCAGTTAAACATATACTATTCTTTTTTATCAGTGACCGATCTACAACAGAATACCTGAAAAATGAATTAAACTGCACAGTTAATATTTGTGTTTACCTTAGCCTCATCCAATCTGCCCAATGCCTTCAACAAGTTTCCAAGATCACTTCGAACACAATACAATTCCTAAATAATAAATTAAAATCATTAATCTATCAAAATATATATATATATATACGTGTGTGTGTTTTCGGTAAAATTATAACTTACAGGGTTGTACTGTAATGCTGTAACATATGCTTGTACTGCCTGTTCCATATCACCAGCAGCTACCAGGGCAGCTGCGAGATTTATGTAACCATCAATGAAATCTGGCTTTAAACGTACTGCATGACGATAGTTATCTAGTGCATCTTGAAGCTGTCCACGTTCTTTGAAAACATTTCCTAAATTACTGTATGCTTCAGCCAGTAATGGATTATGTTTAATAGCCAATGATGAAAAGTTAGCTGATCTATAAAAAAAAAAATCACCAATTTATATAGGTAAGTACTAGGTATGTATAAATATTATTTTAATTAATTATTAACTAACTTATCCAAACGTCTGCATTGAAAATGTATTGAAGATAAAAGCAGTAATACACCAGTATTATTTGGTTCTTGACGCCAAAGTTGCATACAGTGTCTTTCAGAACTTTCATAATCTCCAGCTTGATATTCTCTGTGTGCCAATTCTAATAAACCTGAATAAACAAATAATTATAATAGAAGATTGTTTGTAAAACTTAATTTTATACCAAGACTTGTTAATAATAACTCAAACCCACATTTAATCTACTTTTTTTTATCAAAACAAGAGACCAATTTATAGGTAGGTAGGCATGTAGGTATTTGCACATGACCATTCAAGTTTTTTCTTTATTTAAATTGAATAGTTTGAACCAATTAATAAAATGTATGAACTTTGAATACTTATATGAGGACACACCATACACTACTATCAGGGACACAAATAAAGATGCATTTTTGCCCCTGGGCCTAAGCCGACAACAATGGTAAATAAAGATGTCTTAATCGAAGTACATTTTACCAGGACAACCATAGATAATAAAGGATAAGCCTTACCCATACTAATTTCAAGAAAAAGCAGGCTTCGGAATGGCATCAAGCTATAAAAATGATTCAATTGTGGTGTGTACGCTCTAAGCACGCACAAATCTCAATATCTTACCATTCACAAATCAAGAATTTTAGGCCATATTCCATCCATTGTGTACAACAACAACACATTCAGATGAACCGTGAGCTTCAAGTCATTGCATATAAAGAAAGTTTAATTTTTGTTGATTTATACCAGAACATGGAGTATTATTCAGTAACATAAATGACAAAATGCAGTATAATTTTTTATGTTTTATGACCATTATAATCAACTTTCAATTGACAGATTAAGAACAATCCAATAAGTATCTTAAATTATAAGTACTTGTTAACTACCTACAATAGTACTTGATATGTATAATAAATTGCATAACCATATTATCCTTTCACTAAAAAAATTCCACTAATAGAGTTCTTAAACGTACTACCTAGTTAACCGTACAGTTTTGCAATAAACTATTCTTATCAAAACATACGTAGGTATTTGGGTAACAGAATGTAGGTTACTCGAAATAGAATTGAAATGCCTATCAGACCTAACCTACCCAACTGAATTAGTTGAATTTCGTAAAACGAAGTATCAAAAATGCGAAATAAATTGTAAATTCGCAAAACAGGCGATAGGTAACGCGTAAAAAAGAATCGCCCTGGAATCACGTAACCGAGATGCATTAACGTGGACGGAGGGACTTTTAAAACATTCGAAATTTTCTGGAAATGTCATACAAAACGCGGGTATATCCAATAGCATCACGGATAATTCGACGAACCGTAATGAAAAAAACCAAAATTCACCACGTTTTAACTACACGACGACAATAATTTGTTCACGGACAACTCGGCCTGCACACCACAACATCGGTTTACCAGGCCCGGGATGTTTTGTTTGGACAAGAGTTGTTCAACAATATTGTTTTGCCAAGCGATCAAATAATATTACTGACCTAGCAGAATGTGTACCGTCGATTTACTTTCAATCGAGCTGATGATAATCATGGCGACAACGAGCAATATAGGCAATTATGTTTATCGCGACGGCGTACGGAATGATAACGGCGAACGTCAAAGTCGAACGATCGAACGTGGTAAACGGACGGCGTTCAACAAACGAATGTTATTAATGTTATTGAAGTTTCGTTGTCTGGAGATAATGGCGAAAACAATAAACGACGAAACCTGCACGGTCGGAACGAAATCACGTGCCCGCAATGACAACTGAACGTACGCAACACAGCGACGGAGAGAACGGAGTACACACACCGAGTGCGTGTCGACGAGCTACGCGCAAAAGCAATTAAGCGGACGGTAATGACGGCGGCCGTGGCGGTCGGCGTCGACAGTAACGGGACAACGAGTACGGAAAATCCGACGACAAAATGACGACGGGAAATCCAACTATAAATAGGTACGGCGATGTGCGGATCGATTGTACGACCGTCCGCGTCTGTACGGTACACGTAATCGTATGTAATACTGTAACATGGCCGGAGAAGAATGAAAAAAAAAAAAAAAAAAAATAAAAACAAATTTCGCACGATAGAGGCGACCGACCAGTTCGGGGAATCCGGTCTATTTCGGGTTGATCCGACGTACAACGCAAAGCATTCTGTGGAAAATCCCCGGCGGCCGTATTTATTAAAAACCGTAAATGCAATAATAGCGTTGTTATCAACGGTGATAGCGAACGCGGGTCGTCGTCGTCGTCGGTCTCGAGACACTTACCGGCCGAGGCTACGGCGGCGTTGTCTTCGAGTTTCAATATGACCGTGGCTCCGGGTATCTGATGGCACGTTTGGGCTTGCATGGTGGCGGCCGCGTCGTCGGTGGTGGGCGATCTGTGTCGTTTTCGTGTGTGGGGACCGCGGTGGGCGCCCGTGTGCGCCGCGGACGATAAATCCGTGGAGACGTTCGTCGGCACACGAAAACGATAGCAACGGCGACACTCGGTGACGTTCCCCAAACAGATTCACGTGTGAATATGTTCTGCGGCGCAGTGCTCCGTGCTCAGCTGGGACGACGATAATGTGTGTACGAGTCGTCGCGCTGGACGATTATTGTGTATTGTCGTGTGGCTCGGTCGCTGGCTACAGCGAACTACAGCGAGCGCAGAACACACCGCGCGATTGTGGCGGACAACTATCGATAGTCCAAACTATTGTATCCCATTCGATAGTTTTCGACGGCCCGAATTCGACTCGGCTATTTTTTTCTCATATTTTCGTTAATAATGTTTTTTTTTATTATTAAAAACGCATACGAACGATGCGCGTAAATATCAATTCGTTTACGTTGTGTTGAGGAAAACAAAATTCTGTTTTTTTTTTTTTTTCTACTACCATTAAGAAAAACTATTATTTCACATTCCACGGTTTGACTGACGTTCTGTATCGCCTCTTTACACACGAATATAATTGTTAATTATACGATATTCCATTAAACATTTTGGTACATTAAAATCTAAACTGCACTGTGTCTTATCGGAACACATGTATTTTAGTCACCAGAAATTGATAAAATCGTATTGCTACGGTCTGCATAAATTCGATACGGGTTTTTTCTTAATCCCCGGCCCCTGTGGCCGGTACCCGGGCAACGACAAGAACTAACATCGAAAACTACTTATCGATAGTGACGATATAAAACAATCGAACACAATCGGCAATCACGGCGAGTCGTTTACCTGAGCGGCCGCGTGTATAGGTGCAGCGCTAGCGGTACGGGTTGCGCGAGCGCGACACACACTACAACGGTGGTAGCGGTACGCGGCGATTTGCGTCAGCGGCACTTGTAGTGGTGGTAGTGGTAATGCGTGGTATATACGCGAACGGTCGCACGTCACGAGCACGACAGAGAGAAAAAAAACAAAAAAAAAAAAAACCGATCAACGTCGGCGGGCGTGTCGGGTTCGCGGGGCGACGGCGCTCGGTGGGCGGGAAGGGGGGGGGGTTATTCCGTGACTTCCCGTCGGCGGCGGGCGGCAGAAGAGGTGAACCCGGTGAAATATCATTAAAGCGCCCGGCGTGCGGCGTGCGTGCGGAAGCGAGATCGGTGCGCGCGTGCGCGTACGGCGTGCGGCGCAAGGCCGACGGGACGGGGAGACGACCCTTTTCCGCACCGAGTTCGGATTGTCGCGAGCACCAAGAGCAGCAGCTGGCCGCCGCCGCCGCCGTCGCGCGGCAGATGGTGGCCGTAATGTGTAGCGGTGGGACAGGACAAAAGAGTAGACGGTTCGGTAGAGGGAGAACTGTACATTGTCGGCGGCCGCTGTAGCATTCGACCGTCACCCCCGGCCCCGTCCGACCGTCGTACAGTGTGACCGGATCGGGAGACGCGAAACTCCCGCGGGCGGGCTGCGGATTTTGCCGGAGAACCCGGGCGCCCGAAAATGCCGAAATGACAATGGCTGCCGATTAAGAAGAACATACGGGAACAGGGATGGGAAATATTGCGATAATATTAACAAACCGAAAGATTTATTTTTCTTTCGCTCTGATCCGTTACATTTGTCAATTTAGATACAATCTATTGGTTTTATTACGATTTGGTTTTTTTTTTTTCTTTCCGAAAAACAACTTTTTCTACGAGAAATATTACTCCGATGAATAGAGTTTAGCGCCTTTTTTTATATCGCAGAGGCTTGTAATTTTCACCAAATATCTATATCGGCTTTTTGTAGCCATTTTTAAGTTATTTTGAGGTATTTGATTTTGTTCATGGTCTTATAAGTATTTTTATGTATGGTAAATGTTAGATATCTGTTATTCAAATTATATGATTCAAGAGAAATGCATGAAAAACATTGAGTTCAAGGTTCATTATAACTTGTATTTAGTGGTCTAAAAAACAAATAGTAATTTAAAGCATTATTTATTTTTTTTTTTTTTCGTAAGCGTTTCAAGATCAAATTTCGTCGAAAATCGTAAAATTTACGGCATTTCAAAATCTGCCTTGTCGAACATCATTGCGAAGCGTTTTTCGTTTGCAGTCGTTTATCTTTACGTTCAGATATAAAAATTAAATAATTTTATGCAGAGGCGTGGTCTGCCCAATCAGGGGATAAGCCTGGTAAGCCCGGACCTACACACTTTTCTCCAAAATGAACACAATTTTAAAATCAAAAGTATATATTAACAGTCTTTCCGGTCAAAACATTTATGTTATTTTATCTGGCGTACATAGGAAAATATTTCTAACTATGTCTCAGATTTTACGTATGCTACCTACCCAACTTCTCACCAACAATAGTGCCCTCTGCACCCGTCCCCATTATCGGATTTTTTTTTTTTTATATAGATATTAAGATATAGGTATTGACGTATTGCAAGAAACAAAATTCGTCCTAAATTCTCGTTCATAAATTACGAATATTTTTAAAAATGTTGTTGGTGAGAAGTCCTAGGATACAAAAGGGAGGGAATTCAATGTATATCTGTGAGCAACGATAAATCTATTCTGAGCGGAGTTCAATTGTTAGTGATGCTTTGTCAACAAAATATTTTTATTTTAAATAACAATATATGTTAAATATGTAATATTTTGGTAAAATAATTAAATAGGCATTATGTATATTCTTTAATGAAATTTGTTTAAAATGTACCAATTTTCCTGTTTTTCTCGGTTTATCACATTTGCCGGGAAAACTATTGGGAAAATCGAATAATGACCTCCCATAAGCACCGTCTCAGTCAGATTTCAATTCTGAATAAGTGCTATCATTGTAAATCTGAGAAAAGTTGTCCAAAGAAAAAAAAAATCGTAATATTTTACTAATAATTTCGTTAATTTTCTCGTTTTTTCTCTTTTGTTAGGAAAACTGCCGAGAAAATCCAAAAAAAAAGAATATGACCTCCTTAAAGTACCATCGCAAGAAAATTTAATTTCAGAAAAGGTTCTACATCGATCGGCCAGCGCGTGGTTTTCGCGATATTCATATTCGTCGTTCGATTAAATAAACCGTATAAATCGGTAAGCGCACCCACAACGTGTGTGTGTTTGTTACTAATTCGGCGCATTTTGGTACTGATAGCGCGACCGACACGTGTTTTCGGCGAGGTAAGGCGAACACCCCGAGCAATATCCGTGTACAATGTCGTATGATTTTACGATTGATCGATTTTCATGAAAATCTGAGCTCCGGACGTACATGCGAATAAAACGACGGAGACGCACTACGCGCGTGGGTGGGTGCAGTCGCTGTTGTTGGGCGGGAAGTCGGGAAGGCGGGATCCAGACGGGAATTCGATGTACGGCCGTGAGCAACCATCTGATAAACCGTTGCTAACGAAAAAACGATTCTGGACGGAGTTCAGGTGAAACTTTGAAACTTTTATTATATGACATTATGGCAAAACGATTAAAATACGCATCACCTATATAATTTCTTTAATCATATTTGTTTAATGTACTGATTTTCCCGTTTTTTTTTTTTTTCGGTTTTTCACATTTGTCGACAAAACTCATGGGAAAATCAAAACAATGACCTCTTCAAAGTACCCCCCCCCCAACAACGATTTCTTTTCAGAAAAGGTGCTACGCTTAAAAATCAAAGCAAGATCTGTTGTCCGCAGAAGAAACATTAAATAAACATCTTTGTAAAACCATAAGCTTCTTCGTTCCACTCGGAATCTAAAAAACAAGAGTTTTTTTTTTTTACGTAGGGTTCTTTTTATAATTTTACGTTTTTAGTAGAAACGCAAATTGTCTGCGATGATTAGTTATATCGAATATTAGGTGGGCGTGTAACGTCGACAATACCGTTGCAGTCAGACGGATACTGAATTCTTCAGTCGGTGAAAATTCCGGCGAGTTCTACTGCGTGTGAAATGTGCTTCTCCGTTAACGGGTCGTCTGGAAAATTGGCTTAGGGGCAACAGCAAGTGCGCATCAACAGCGTTTTACAGATTCGTCAACATTAAATATTGAAAGAGAATTTGTTAATGGAATTACATCTTCAGAAATACCGAAAAATTATTCCAGTAGCGATAGAAAAATAACACGGGTTTGATGTAATAAACGTAATAAATGTAAAAACACATTGCGTTGAATTATGGATAGATAATTAGTAATACAAGTGACTGCTGAAAAATTGTAAAGACACGAACAGTAGGTAACCGTTAACAAACGACTTACAAAATACAATTCACTAGGTAAGTACCTACTCGACTCGATTACTCAACAACAGTGTCGGCTTCTTACTCGCCGGACGCGGTTTACCAAAAACAAACATTTAAAAATACACGACTGAATGGATAGGTACCCCCCCCCACACACTGGATAATAATAATAATTATAGCCCGACTGACGTACACAATCGAATTTTAATAAAACCAGTAGAACGCCTATTGTGAATGTTATCGACACCAAACCGCTAGATAAATATTACAAAATTCTTATTTCTTTTCAAAATACGTCTAATAAGGAAAGCGTTCGAAAAATCGGCGTTTGTAATTTTTTGCATGTAAAAACACCCAGCGATTAATATGCTAACGGCCCGTGTCCGTCTTTTAACTGATAAAATATAATCGGATTTGTATTTAAAACCTTTTATAATGGTACCTACCCGCACAAAATTGGCGTTTGTAATTTCTTGCCTGTAAAAACACCCAGCGATTAATATGCTAACGGCCCGTGTCCGTCTTTTAACTGATAAAATATAATCGGATTTGTACTTAAAACCTTTTATAATTGTACCTACCCACTTAGATAGCCGACCTTGTTATTCATTTTAAATTTAAGTTGTCTTATTTCTGTATTTCTTAAATTAAATGTCAACTGTTTTTATGATTGCTTCACACAGTGTACCTACACAGTGTATTCAATCGATAAATGTTTAGTATTATTGTATAGCCACCTAAGTCAATAGTGGTGATAATGAATTGTACCGATTTCAAAACGACGTTTTGATTGTAAAAAACATTTGAAAACTGTGTACCTATTTAATTCTTCTTATAACACTGCTCAAAACTGGGATGTCTTATCACTAATGCTAAATATTATATTTGTACATAAGACCATGAAACGGTTTATTGTAAAACTTTGTTCCATTATTTACTTGTAAACATTTCGGAGTATTTGTTTTTAACACATTCGACGTGTTTTTTCTAACTTCTTTACAGATTTCATTATTCAATGCTTGTAATCTATACTTATTTGGTACATTACAATTAAAATATATTTAAAACCAGTTGTTGTATGTATATCTATTCAGTGACGGATTTTGCGTTTTGGCGACCCTAAGATTAATCACTCTGGCACCCAGGTAGTATGAAGGGGGGGGGGGCTCACATTACTAAGGAACCAACAATATTTGGTCTGAACCATTTTATTCGAATTCTATACACCTTTTTTTATATATTTCAAAAAAAAAAATATGTATAAATCGTTAAAATAGACACCTCGCAAAAATAATATAATTCATGTCTAATATTTTACTTCAGTTACCAGTAGTGCTTGTACTAGTTGTACTACAGTCACATAACAGAAATATACATAACCAAATATGAAATAGGTAGTAAACAATGAACATAGAAACATAGTTATCATATATAATATTTATAAAAACTTGTACAAAAGCATTGAAATTTATTAAAATCAAATTAAATGAAAACTTTCTTTATTACAAGTACAAAATAAATAACCCAAATAATTGTTACTTATTAAAATAAATTAAAACATTATAACAATATTTTAAATCTGTTTTTTTTGTTCCGAGGTTTATATTGATGTCTTCATATTCTAGTTCTGTTGTAATTTGGTTTTCAATACACAATATTACCAAAGCATTTAATCTATCTTATCTATTAAATCTATTTATATTGATATCTTTCCCAAAAATAACAAATAACTGTTGTATTTTTAGAAAATACCCATATTCGGATATTCCTAATATGTACAGTCTAATTTATCCCTAATAGTGATTATATTACACGTGAAGTATTTTAAAATTTTAATCATAATTTTAATATTGTCACTAGGTACATTACACATATTATTATAATGTTCTAAAATTATTTTTATTCGTGTTTATAATTTAAATATTAAAAAAAAAAATATTCAAATAAATATACTTAATAACTATTAATTCTAAAAAAAGCCAGTCTAGGCTATTAGCTTATATTAGCCTTATGGCATAGCCTATTTAGCCTGTTCCTAAATCCGCCACTGTATCTATTAAGTCTATTTACTAAAGATCATGTTAAGGTAACCGTTCCACCTTTGTCCTAAAACTTCCACTATACCCGATTTCCTCACAAATTAGTATACGAGTTGAGCATATAAAAATTATTCTTTAGATTTATATTTTATTTGATCATGATCAAAAATACATTGTTATAAATTAATACTTAAATAAGCAAATGTTGCATTACATTTACTATAGATATCTATTAATTTTCTTAAAATGTGTGAAAAACTAATGAAATAATTAGTTTTTCACTTCATAATTGAAATAGGGACTAATATATAATAATATGGCTGTAGGTATGTTAGTTATACAATAAATACATTTTAGTTTTTTTTGGAATAGATCACTCGACATTAATACATTGTTGTAGTCTTTTAATCATTATTCATTATCATAAGCTTTTGATATCTATTACTTCAATCTTCTTAATAATATTTAAATTCAGTTTAAGGAAATCTTACATAATGAATGAACGATTATGAAGAATACAAAGATATAAAGATTTTTTAGTAAAGCCTTGTTTACACCAGCATTGTAGTTGTAAAAAAATCAGGCGTACTATAAATTATAACAATAATAAGATCTATTTTTGATAATTCAAAGATGATCACTCAAAATTAATGAAAAGTTGAATACAAATCAACTTCATAAGTCGTCTGTTATTGATGATCACTTATAATGATTTTGAATAAAGTATTTCGCAATAATTGCGACAAATTAGAATGGTTGGATTACAATAGATACGTTTCAGCAGATGACTCAGGTCATAAACACCAAAACATAGGTAATGAATATCTAACCAATAATCTTTACATATTTTATTTATACTTATATGGATACAATAAATCTAAATCGTTGAAATAGAAATTTTTGTTTATCCTGTTATTATTAAACCTAAAATAAGCTAGTCTTCTTTCTCGTTAACAGAAATGTAATTAAATTAATTAAATGGTGTTAGTGATTCTAGTTAAAATGAGTACATTTTCTATTCATTAAACATATATATTTTGTAATAATTTATCTTGTTTATTTATTTTGAAAATGTACTATGAAAGTACTAAATGAGTAGGCAATTAAAATTACAGATAATAAATAAATTTATATATATATAATTACATTTATCATTATTATTGCCTTTAAATCTATTGATGATTTATAGAAAAATCAAAGAACTGATAATAACAATATTTGTTTTGAGTGTTCGTATTCAATTGTAGAATGCCATAAAATACAATTATTTTTAACCAGTACGTTTTACAAAGTCTATATTTATTTTTCCAGTATTGTTTCTGCGCTCACTATTTTTTTCATTTGTCTGATGTTTGATCAATTGACTTCTCAGAATCAAAATATGCATCTGTTTACTGTACTGCTCAGCCATGCATAAAGCTTTCTGAAATGTTTCAACTCTTTTATCTGTATGTTTTGCAAAAAGGATCTAAAATAACAAAAAATATGTATTAAGTAATAAATCAACAAATAAAATAATTTCGTATAGTACTATTCAGTCATTATAGTTTAAATTTAGTTCTTTATATAATAAATAAGCTAGATACTTATTTGTATGTAATAAATATACTTTTTTTGTTAAATAATTAATTAATGTAGATAGACAAGTACAAGGAGTATAAAATGCAAAAATTAAAAGGTTCAAATTTATTTTTTAAACAAATTAACTCCACAATTATCACTTTTGATTTATTTAAAATTCTGAGCAGAGCAAGAAATGCATTGGTTTCACAATGTTTAATTTTTTTTTATGTGGACACTTTTTCTACCAGAAAGCTTACTTTGATTATTAAGTATAGCACTTTTTCTGAAATGAAATGTTCTTTGGGTGGTACTTTAAAGAGGTCATTTTTTGAAATTCTCATAAATATTTGAGATGTGGAAAACCTGGTTCTTTAAGTTAGAAAAGATTGAAAGATTAAAAATAAGGTTGTTTTTTATGAATATTATTGTTTTTATTATTTAATTTTTTTTTTTTAACAATCATTGTTATTATGTAAACGCACATTGTTGTAATCATTTTACAATGACATATATATAGTTGACAAAGCAACACTATCCACTCAACTCCACTCAGAATAATTTTTTTGTTAGCAATGGTTTATCGTTGTTTACACATACATTACATTACCGCGTATATATCCTACCTTCCTAACTTTTCACCTATAACAGTGGCTGCACCCATGTGCAAAATATGTCTGTATTTTTTGTTGTTTTAATTATTTTACTAAACTTTAAGTATTATCAAAATAATAGTGATTATTTTTTAATTTTTAAAATATTCAATATTTTCTACTTTAATTAAGTAAAATCTATAGCGGTAATTAAAACCTAACTTTGAATAAAACAAGTTAAACTTGAAAATTAAGTTTAAAACAATAATCATGATATTTACTTTGTTAATAGAATCAATGCGAGCCTTGATGTGTCCATCTATAATAAGCTTCATAAGCTCATCCTCTAAATCAGGCAAAGAAGTATTGAAACATAATGCCATCTTCCTCATGTCAGCAGAATCATATGGACTAAATATAAATGTAATTTATAGTAATAAAAAATAATAAAATTAAGTTTTAATAAAATATTTGTTTACGTGAAGTACTGGATCATTGCTTTGCTTCTGATATTGGAGTAGAGCTGTTTTATGTGAGATCCAATGAACATATCCAGAAGTAAAGATGGCTAAAATTAAATAAATTGTATTGTTCCAGTAATTGTTTACCATAAACAATTATAAAATAATTTATAATATACAAATATATCTAATTATAATACTTTTCTTTTATTCAAAATAGTTAAGCAGACTTCATATTTGGACTCGTAGAATTTAAATATGGCATCACGTATTTCGGGTTCAAGTTCAAGGAATGATTTAAATGAACTAAAAATATGAACAAATTAAATAAGTCACAATGAATACATACTATTACAAATAACACAATATAATATCTACAAATTTACATAAATATATATATACAAAATGTGTATATATAAAAATGAATGAATATTGTGGAATATTATGATGACGTATGTGAGTCATGTTTCACATTTTGACTGTGATATACCTAATGAATTTTTAATTCGAAACTGGTCGCATAATACACTTATCATAATATTCCAGGCGACCCATTCATTCATTCATTTTATTTTTATACATATATTTATTTATGAGTATTAATTATTTTAATAATTTTGTTTTTACTTTATTATTTTATAACTACACAATTCACTACATAATGATGATTAATAAAACAGCGATAGGTGTGTAGACAAAATGGATAACATAAATAAAAAATTATGATAGCAATCAAAAACATATTTAACTAAAACTCATGCAGTTTAATATATTGAACTGTAATATTATGAGAAACCAATCAATTTGGATTTTTAAAACATATTATATTGTTGTTTAGAAATATTTTTGCATTATATTTATTTGTGTTTGTTTGATTTTTGACATTATGAAAATAATATATATTGATATGATCCATAAATAATCCTGAAGTGTGCGCATATTTTTATCAGGTTTATTGCTTGGTCATAAACTTACAATTAGATTAACATAACTAGATGATATTGACAGAAATATACATTAAAGTTATTTAATTAAAATTATGTTACAGGGATTACATTTTAGTATCATTATATCATATAGTATCAAAAACTTGAATAATCATATATATAAAAATGTTACATTATCCTTATTTTCATAGGTAATCAGTAACATATTTTTGATTTTAAAATAGCTACCTATATTATTACAAATTCCATAAATAAATGGAGTATCAATTTAAATGACATTGCCATTTTTGATTCTTGTCAACCTGTTGAAGAGATATTCTACTTTCAAGTTTAGATAGGGGGATAGTAGTGGAGCACTATTCAAATACCACTGTACCATCACACAAATGATGTTTCACTACACTCTCCTTACCCTAACTTAAAATTGGAATATCAAGTCAACAGGGTAACAGCAATCAAAAATGTCAACATCAAAGTAAATTTAAACTTATAAATGTTTATTTATGCATTTTTAATATAGGTAGCTATTTGAAAATAAAAAGTAGGTTGCCGATAAACCCCCAAAAATAAGGACAATGTAACATTTTGATATATATGATTATCCAAGTTTTTAAATCCAATTCATGGAAAATTTGATAGTAACATGAAATTTGGAAGACCCTATATTAGAGATATTAATTTAAATTACATACATAATCAAAGTCAAGTTGTTATACTTCTAAAACATAAACACTAAAACTTGAGTAAAAATGTTAAGTAAATAATTGCATGTATAACCTAGTAATGTTGTTTGAGTAATATTACCAATTTTGATATTTTGATAATATAATATATAAAAAATTTAGTTTACATAGTAAAACAAAGGATTTTTGTTTTGAAAGTAATATTACAAATACTAAATTACTTACTTATTACAAATAATATTATTTTGAAGTTCCAAACGATTAAAAGTGGCTAAAGCACAAAGTCCTCCATAAATAGCAACATCATTAGTTGTCATTACTTCCGTAGAATTACAATGATCTAAATTCGCTCGCAAGAAATTATGAGCAGCTGATTTGTATTTACGATTAGCTAGATCAGCTAGACCCGCCAAGCATTTAAGTGTAGAACTATAATTTTTTAGTATATCTGGGTTCTAAACATATAAAATATTTTAAATTATTACAATAAAGTAAATAATTAAAATTGAATGTTTAATATTTATTATAAAAAAATAAACATATTAATATAATTGCTACATGTAATGTTAACTGTATAATGTGAATTATCTACCAAACACCCTTTCAAAACGCTTATTAAAAAAAAACAGTTGTCCAATCATTTTTGAAATTTTACTATGTCTAGGTAAGTCTAATATAAGGATTATTATCAAGTTTCAAGTCTCTATGTGTATTTATAATCGAATTATTGCTAAAAAAACTCCCTAAAATTAAAATTCCATAAATGCTCAAAAGATTTGGTAATGATACCGTAAGTAAATCAAAAGTCAACAAAAAAGGTATTTAGAGATTTTTTTAACTAAATCATTTTTACTGGTACAAAAAGTACGTGTTTTTATAAAATCATGAAATTGTACGTTTCCTACATTTTTTTCTCCCACTTAAATGCTTTTATTTAAAAAATGGTGTCGAAAATCAAAAATTGACCTAAAAGTTAAAACCTAAAAATTAACCTTAAAGTGCAATCTAGACAACTTAAGCTTTCAGAAAAGTCACTACACGTAAAAATCTGAGCAAGTTTACTAGGAAAAAATGTGTCCAAAGACAAAAAGAAAAATAAACAGCATTGTAAAACCAATAGCTCTATCACTACGCTTGGAATCTAAAAATGAATATGAAATATTAAATGTTTTAACTGTTATGAAATATAAAAATGCTATCTTCTGATAATCAATGAATACTTTGTTACAACCAGTCATAATGAAATCAAAATTCAATATTAATGGGTCTCAATTTTTTTTTTTTTTTTTTTTAATATATATCATTAAGTGGCAATAAACAACTTTTAAGTTAAATAAAATAAGATGTGTTAATTACCTCGGTATAATCTGGAGTTGTTTCTGCTTTAATGATGTAATTTTCAACATGGGACCAATTTTGAAGATAAATTCCAACCTGTTAAAAAAAAAATCTAACTTTATCAACACTATATAAAACAGTAAAACAACTATAAATCATTGAATTTTGTGCATCAATATTTGATGGGATATAGACCATAAAAAAAATTGTTTTATTAAATGACAAGCTTGAGTATACTAATTAAAAAGGAGATATTAAATATTAATGCATAAATACTTTACATTGTATAGGTTATAATTTAACTTAACCATTGAATTTTTAAAATATTTTGAATATTTCTTTACAACACATTTACTTTGTACCTACAAATTAAACTGTACAAGTTTAAAAAAACCATTGGTAAAATATATAATAGCATAATATACTATAATAATAGTATAATTTAAACGAAATTAAATTTGGAAAACTAAAATAATATTTCATTATTATTGTAGTACAATAATTAAATAATTAAAGTTTTAAAAATGATTTATTCTTTAAGCAATATTATAATAGAATAATATACATAACTTTGTATCTTATACATACTTTTATTATATTAAGACACATTGATATCACATGGTATGAACTAGTACAATAGTCTCGAGCTTTAGAATAACTTTTAGTAGCTTCAATGAGGTCTCCACAACTGACATGATGATCACCAATTTCATTATGACCACGTCGAATACTTTCCTTAATTGAATTACTTTTATAGTTCTTAAGATCTGAATCCAGCTTTTCGAGTTTTATGGATGCCTTTTGAGTTGTAGTTTCAACCCAACTAGCGTTGTAAGTCAAAGGTGCTACATCCACATTGTTAGCGCCAGTAACATCTGGTAGTAGATTTCTAACTCATAAAAATAACAAACAAATTTAAAAACTAGTAAAAACATCTAGTACTATTGTATATTATAATTTATAACGAAAATAAATATTATAGGGTTATTTTGTTGGTTCTAAATTAACTATTAATTATACTAGATCTATATAATTGTATAATACATTTTGTTGCTTATTATACTATACAGAGTGATCAACCCTTCTATAAGACACTCATTATTTAAGAAAACATCAATTTTTTTTTAGAAAAATTAAGAATAAGCAACTCTAAAATGTTATATTTTCATTATTTTTGGGGAGTAAAAAAACTATCTACTTTTGATTTTCAAATGGAAAATTACATTAAAAATTTCTTAGATTAATATTAGTTTAAATAAATTTTGGTAGTGGCACTTTGATTTTCATCAATCTGTTAACGAGGTATTCAACTTTTAAAATTAAGTAGAGGAGAGTATTGCAGCACTATTCAAACGATTCTATCCGTGTCATAACACGATGTTCACTACTAGCTTGTCAATGGGTTGACGAAAACAAGACTTTCAAAACCGAAATGTATTAATACTAGTGGGGTAACCATGATTTTTTTTTGGGTGTATGAACTTCAAAGTGTTGACTACCAGCGGGTAGTCAGATAAAGAATATACAGGGTAATTTAGTTTATAAACTGTATATCAGGGATGGGCAAGTGGTCCGCATCCAGCCCACATACCATATTTCACTGCTATATGCTACATTTTCAAATTAATTAATAAATATCACATGTATAAATAATTAAATATAAAAAATAAATGTCACTTGTAAATTTTAAATTTGATTGACCTTTTTTTTAGTTTTCTATGTTCTCTAGCGCGCTAGATTTTAAAGTTCTAAAAATTGGCCCTCTTGTTAACATTGAGTTACCCATCTCTGCTGTATACAATAATAAATCATTATAAACAAAAAAATGTTTCTCAGAACGCTAGTAATTTAATATTAATAGTACTCAAAATGTACTGGAACGCCAATTGGATTTGTAATATTAGCTTTTGGGTTCAAATAAATATTAAGTTAATAAGTTAATATTAAATAAATTAAGATAATTGCCACTCAGTATATGATGTTTCCGAAATTATCACAATCAATTCTGTATCTGATAATTTTGATTGAAAAATTATGAAAATCTTATATTCAATTTATTTAAAAATACTTACTTCAGTCATGTATCACTAAAACTGGTTTATGAGCTAAAAGGAAAGGTGTTCTTTATATTATTAGCTATCATACTAGTTTTCTGGCCGTTCTAGTTTGTAAAAGTTTTCATTTCGAGCACTGAGTATAATAGTCATGTTTTTTTCTCTCATTTCCTAGGTATCTCAAAAATAAAAAAAGGTATAGGGGTGAATTGTTGAGATAATGCATGCAAAATTGGAGCATTTGACTAACTAAATAGGTTCTTTGCTAAATGCTGGATCTAAAGTTTAACATAGTCAAAAAAAAATCTGTTACCTAATTCTAGTTTTTAAGAAATACTACTATTGGAATATTTGATCTAAACAGTATAAACTATTATATAGGATTCTTGAAAAATCTCAAATTTCAGTGGCTTGTCAAGCTTGTTAAGAGCTAGGTACTTATTACTTATATGTTCTAAAATATAAATTTCGAAAATTGTTTATACTTTTTTAGATAATGATTGTCTTATCGAGAATTGATCACCCTGTAAACTATATTTACAAAATTACAAACCAAAGTGCTGTTGGATATTCGGTCACAGAAAATTCGCAAATTAAGAATCAGAATAACTCCAAAATATTTTGTATTATAAATAAGGAAGAAAGAAAAAAAAGTTTTATTAAAATGAAATATTAGTACCCTTGGAATTGTTGAAGTTTCTGATGCAGTACTTGATATAAATTAGTGTTCATTGTAGTAATGATATGAGAAATTGCCAGTCTTAACGCGTCTGGACGCAATTTTGAAGAATGATCAGCTATATACATCAATCTATAAATGCGAGCTAATCCACTGTAATTGTTGGCGTAAGTTTCAAGATCCTTGATTAAAATAAAATAGCATATAATTAGTATCCAAATAAGCACTATGACCATGACTATGACTAAGATTGTTTATATTTACGAATATGTCAATGTCAACTTCGTATGTTTCTTCTTCATTGTTGTCGTTTTCTTCTTGCATTGGATCTATATCTCCGGGAGCCTGATAAACTACCGCTGGTTGCTGAAATATTAAAATATAATACAATTGAATAAATTACCTATTGTAGCTATATTTCGTTTACATCAAACAACATACAAGATCATTGGCCGACATTATCCACGTGCGTGAAGCATAGAATATGTACTAAGATATGACGGACAAATTATTATAAGAGTATTCGAGTATTGGATCTAAAACTATATTATAATATGTTCATCAAATTTTTTTGCAAATGTTTCCTCTGTTATCATCACGGTCCACGGATAAAAAGAACGGAATCTTCAACCATGATAGAGTAATATAAGAGGGGCCATAATGAAATAAAATTGAAGCGCAAAAAGGTGATATTTAACAGTGTGACCACCAATAAAACTCCAAATGTTGTTATTGGTTCCATATATTATTTTGTATTACGATGATTGTACAAGTTTAGTAAAATAGTACATTACTACAACTACATTAATACTTGTATTTTTTAGACGTATTTTATTTTCAACCTACTGATTGGTCTAGTGAAGCGATAAAAATTCTGAATACAGATTTCAATTTGTTGTCAAGATCCTGTTTTGTTAAAAATATATATTTTTGATTTGGAAAGACATTTTCAAAATCGGGAAAAAGTATCATCATACAAAAAAAAAAAACATAACATAAAAAGACATATTACATATTATAATATCTATTAGATAGCCTATGAAGTACTGGTTGTAACATCTATTGCTTCTTTTTGATGTACAGTCAAGGGTTTTAAAGTTTCAGAATACATTTTTTTTTGCCTAAAATAATTTACATTATATTATTGTACAAAAAAGTTATAAATATCTATACGATATAATAATGTACTTTTTCAATATTAAACAAATACACTCGCACATTATACTCGGCCAACATTAGATGGAAATGCAGGACTTTGCAATAATCAGATCATTCATGAAGGGGTGTTGAATCTGAAGTACAGGGGCTCGTTGAAATGAATTTGGAATTTTTGAAATTTCAATAGGAATAATTATTTTTATATCAATTAATATGTTTCAATCATTTTGATATTTTAAGATGCCGGTTAACCATTGATATCGATACATAGAAATTATCATCTTCCGTTTGTAATGGACTGCAACGATTTTCGATTAGATATTTATATCTAGCGTCATTATAGACAGTATATACGGACAGGACATCCCTATACGTCCTACTATACACGGTATACTGTGAGCAGTGTGAGTGAAGAGTCTAGTAGTGTCACTAACAAAATTCGTATATCATTGAAGATCGCCAACATAGAATACCACTAACCAGGAGTGCGTTCAGAAACATTATCCACGATTTCTAGGGAATTCGCACCGCCCATTTCAATGAACCATCAAGTTATCAACCAAGTTACCGAGGTTACCCGAGGTATGTTAACCTGTTTATAGTTTTATCAGAAATAGATTTGGTTTTGGGTGCCATAAGGTAATAGATAAGAATACTACTCAGTTAATAAATTAATATAATTATTATAATAAATTTGATATTAAATGGCTAATAATAACGAAATTGTATTATCGATATATCGGTAGTATGGAACGCGCAGTCAATCTGTTAATAAGTCTATGATTTTATTCGAAAAAAAAAAACATTACAGTAGACTGTAATAAACATAAAGTCAGATCTTGTAAAAAATGATAAAGTGTGACAAGAAATAAATAAAAAGGAAAGAAATTCCGTACATATTATTTAAAAATAAAAAATAAGTTAACCAGATGGCCCAAGTAACCTACTTCTGTGTTTTGAAATTTTAATCGATGAATTTAATTAGAAAATATTATATTGGTTTATTTTAGAATCTGAGTGGAGCGAAGATTATGTAACTTTTCTACCAGAAGACTTACTCAGATTTTCAAGTGAAGCGCGTTTTTCGCAAGGAAATCGTTGTGGGGAGGTATTTTTGGGAAGTCATTTTTCGTTTCTCTTAAGAGTTTTCTCATCAAATTTCAAAAATCGAAAAACAAAAATGGGAAAATATAAGAAATGTGAGTATAAGTAGGTATGCCAATAAAAAAAAATATCATTTTAAACTATAATTATTACAACATCATTCAGAAAAGCTGCAAAACTAAATAAAATATAGTACAACAGTAAACGTAATTAACCGCAATACAATAATAATAGTACTATAGTGTAAAAGAGACCAAGCGATTTGTTTAGGTACTTGTAGTCGAGGGGGCCCCAGACTTTTTAATAAAATATGCGACTTTTACTATGCTCTGGGCGGCACAGTGGCTGTATCATAACTTTTTTTTATAACCTAACCATATATTTTGCAAGTAAGTAAATCGGGTAGAAGACTCTTCGGGAATCTTTTTTGGGTTTTATTTTTAAACAAATAATAATTTTTTTATTTCTGGTACCCGATCAGACGAGGTAGACGAGAATAATAAGAAGATTATAACAACATTATGCTACAGCCACGCACGTAGCAAGTTGGGGTTTAGGGGGATCCACGGGATCACGACGATTATTGTTAGACGATGACAAAATGTCCATTTTTCATCAAACCAATATTTTGTTAATCGTTTTGATATTTTAAAAATTTTGAATTTGTAAACGTAATACTTGTACTTTCATCCATTATTAACTATACATTTGATGTCATTTGTTGTTCCGTCACGTACACCGAAAACGATGTTCATTTTTATTGTTTCACCGTGTCATCGTGGTATGACTAATGACACCCACTGATGCCATCACAAAACAATGAGGAAAATACCGGGTGATTCATTTAAGTGGGTACACTCATGTAAGCGAATGCTGTGGACTGGATTATGTCATGTTCAAGGGTGACATCTGCCTACGTAGTAGTGGCTAATCAACGCGGACTAGCTGGACAGACTCTGTATGGACACCAGTTCAGAGGATGACATGGTGATCAGGCTGTCGCCGCGGTTCGTTCTTGTCGACAGACCCAATAATTATTATACTGTGACACCAATGCATTGTTATTTCGTACATTGTTTTCGTCTAGACGTATCTTATGAAAACAATTATTTTGGAACCAACAGGGTCCAAATTAACTTTAAGATTGTTCAATGATTAAATTTTAAAAAAAAAGTTATATAAATTCAATAAAATAAAAACCTGGATACAGTCAATGTCCAGATTACACTATGTCACATATGGTATAAAATACAAAATTTACCTGAGCAAGTTTACGTCTCCTATTTGTTCAAATAGTTAGTGGATGAGGTGTTTCACTAGATTCCAAAGAGGCCATTAAATCTCCAAGTGGGAACAAATGCATCATTTTTTCAATAAGAAATGCGTTGTTATTAAGATATAGGCAAAGGTCATTAAGTAATAAATCAGATGAATTAAAGTAGTAAAAATGTATTTTAACAATTTGGTTCACAGATTTTACTGAAATTAGACAATACTAATAAATTATCCTTTATCATTTGCTCTATTTCAGGTATAGAAATATGTTCATCAATCTGATCACTTGCAGTAAACACAAAAACATTTTTGCTCACGACATTAGATTGCATGTTCATTTTTTTATTAGCTTTAGCTCTATAAAGATACATTAATTATTGTCTTTTTATTTTTACACGTTCATATTTCCTTACTCTTCCATTTTCTTTTCAGCTTTTTCAATTATAATTCCTCATCATCCCTTTCATACACCTTTATTTTTTTGTAGCCTTATCTTTTATTTGGGATCAGTATCTTAAATTCAAGATTCATTGGAACTATCAACACCATCTAATGCCTATAACCAATGTACATGCCTATACAAACTTGAATAAATATTTTATATTTATTATTACTTTATTATAGCCTTTATGATTTTATGACCAATAGTAGGACTTACAGCATATTTTCAATTTGTGAATCTTAGCAATAGAGTCGTGAAATTTGAAGCTTATCATATACAGTAGCGGCTGGTGTGTCAAATAATTAATGGTGCACATTTAAAAAATGTTTATACAATAAGTACACTCAATTCAGAAAACAGGAACTAAAACAAATATTTTATTGAAATATAAATATATTTGTATTTGTTTTATGTAGGTAGGAGGTTCTTAGATAGAAATTTACAATATATTTGGGAATTATTTTTGTTTTTGTTACGTTTTATTAAATAATATTATTTATGGATTGAATATCAAAACCTCGTAGTTTATAATTCCTTTTTATAATATGCATAAAAAAAAAAAATTATGTGTTGTGCGAGCCAAATACCACTGACTGACTACATGTCAAGAACGACCGTGTCCAGAAACAATTTTAGATCAATTATAGAAAAACTGTGCTTTTATAATTATATAACTTTTTTCCGATTTCCGTTGGTTACGAGAAGTTGTTATCAATATACTCGTATTTAATTTTGTTGTCTAATTCGAATCACTCATATATTGTTGCTTATTATACGTGAGTATTTGATTTTTTGTCACGATATAATAAAACCTTTAAAACAATCCGATTTACTCTAGTGATTAATAATTTATACTAAAAGTATTAATATTTCCATTTACTATTTTCTATTTTTTTATTTTATATTTACTCTCACGTTTAATAATTTCTACTAAACGTACCTATTCATGTTTCTATATTCTATTTACTTGTGAATATAATATTCACCATGCCAAACCATACGACACGACGCAAGTAAATATTTTGTAATTTTAATCGAAAACCCGTTTTCGTATTAGATATTATTTTATCGGTCAAGTATTATATTATTATAATAAAATAAAATATACACGACATTTATACCCTATATAATTTGTTTATAACTCGAATCCTTTTTTTTTATCGTCACAAAGAATTCAATACCATTATGATGTATGTAAGTCTAATACTAGTCAAAGAATTAAGACTTTAATAATTTTTAGTGAAAATAAAATTTATTAATTTAGAAATTATAAATAAGGCTTCTAATGATTATTAGTTGGAATACAATTTAAATATTTTCATCAAAGAATTCGTGTTTTTTATTTATTCAAGTGGTATTAATAGTTTTATTTTTATCTACTGACGTTTTAGACACTTAATAGTTACTGATATTTTGTATAACAGTACACAGTTATAGTCAGGGCTAGGATTTGTATGCAATAAAACATTGTAAAATATGCATTTTGTTTATCAAAATATGCAAAAATATGTATTTAAATTTTTATAAGATAAATACAAAAATATAGCTACAAAATGTATTTATTTATTGAAATACATCAGTGATTGGCTGTTTGTCTTAATGTAATATTATTGAGAAATAAAATAAAATAAATTAATTTGGAAATAAAATTTATAATTCACATTCAATAGTGGAAATACGTGTG